TGCGGGGCTTGATCCCAAGACCCTGGGATCATGACTTGAGCCGAAGGCAGACGCTTAAACAACTGAGCCACCCAGGCGTCCCCCCCTTTTTTAAAGATTTTATTTATTTGACAGAGAAAGAGAGAGCATAAGCAGCGGGAGCGTCAGGCAGAGGGAGAGGGAGAAGCAGGCTCCCGGTTGAGCAGGGAGCCCGATGTGGGGCTCGATCCCAGCACCCTGAGATCATGACCTGAGCTGAAGGCAGACGCTTAACCGACTGAGCCACCCACGCGCCCCAGAACTGCATAATTTTCTAGGGAAAATGTAAATGAACAAAACTGACTTCAGGAGAAATGAGAAATCTAAACACTAATCATTAAAGAAATTGAAATTTCTTTAGTAGTCAAAAATTTCTAATACCAAAAGACATATCCAAGCCTTACTCATTTCATAGACCAGTTTTTTCAAGTCTTTAATGAACAGGTAATTCCAGTCTTATATGAGCTGTTTCAGAGAATAGAAAAAAACTACTCAACTCATAAAACCATTAAAACCTTAATATCAAGAGTATATAAATTACTGTGTTCTGGGGCGCCTGGGTGGCTCAGTCATTAAGCGTCTGCCTTCGGCTCAGGTCATGATCCCGGGGTCCTGGGATGGAGCCCCGCATTGGGCTCCCTGCTCCGCAAGAAGCCTGCTTCTCCCTCTCCCTCTCCCCCTGCTTGTGTTCCCTCTCTCGCTGTGTCTCTCTCTGTCAAATAAATAAATAAAATCTTTAAAAAAAAAAAAGGGTGTATGAGGAAAGAACAATAGAGACCAATCTCAAAAACCTAGACCAAAAAAATCCAAATTTAAAATATCAGTATAGGGGCGCCTGGGTGGCTCAGTTGGTTTTTGACTTAGGTCATGATCCTGGGGTCCTGGGATGGAGCCTCACGTTGGGCTCCCTCCTCAGTGGGGGTCTGCTTCTCCCTCTCCCTCTGCTTCTCCCCCTGCTTGTGCTCTCTCGCTTGTGTGCTTTGTCTCTCTCAAAATAAATAAAAATCTTAAAAAAAAGTTTCTTATTGGAGTTTTACTGCAATCAAATGTATTCTGTTGAGTGCACTATGTAATCCCTGTTTTTACTGGGAGGCAGTTTCCCTCAATGACATCTCAATCCAACTTCATCATTGTTCAGTTCTTTTAGTTATTAAAACAGTCTCATTTCAGTTATGAAGACTCCTTCATTTTGAAACTTCAATTCATATTTGGTTCAAGATTTTCCTTCCTCATGCCCTAGACCAGGCTAAATTTGTGGCTCTGGTGACCTGGAACTGGAAATGGGGATGTGGGGCACGGATCTGTCACATCCCATACCCTCTTCCCCATTCTTACCACCGGTATGCAGAATTCCAGAACTGACCCTCAATGATCCTTACCCTGTATAATCCTCTCCCGTTTGAGTGTGTGTAGAACCTGGTGAATATGATGAGTTATTATGCCCATGATTATGCTATATTACATGGCAAAAGGGAGTTTATCTGAGTTGGCCTTTTCTAATCACAAAAGCCTTTGGCCAGTTGCAGAGGAGTAAGTCAGAGATTTGAAGTATAAGGGAGGAACTCAACACACTTGCTCGCTTGAAGATGAAGGGGGCTATGTGCTAAGGAATGTAGGTAGACTTTGGGAGCTGAGAGGGGGCCCCCATTGACAGCAAGGAAAAGGGGGTCACAGTTCTACAATTACCAGGAACTGAATTTGGACAACAATCTGAATGAATGAGCTAGAAAGCAGGTTTTTCTCTAAAACCTCCAGATAAGAACCCAAGTTGGCCAATCTTCATTTTGACCTTGTTGAGAACTGGAGCAGAGAAACCCAGTCGAGCTTACTTGGACTTCTGACACATAGAACTATGAGCCAATATATTTGTATTGCTTTAAGCCACTACATTTGTGGTAATTCATTACACAGCAATAGAAAACTACTACATTACTCCTTTGGCATTGATGGGGGGAAAGAGGAGGAGGGCGAAAATGATCTTTCCTTACATGATTGCCCTTAAAATTTGTTGCACTTTTATTAGTTGGACATATTCATGTTTTCTTTATATGAAAAATACCAGCTAGACAATGGAGACATTTCTGTCCCCTTTCTGTTGGTTGTCTTGGCCTCTCTGTTTAATGCAAATTGGGTATCAGTTCCCTCCAGGTGGCAGGTATCCAAAAGCTAGTTCTCCCAAGGGTCTTATGGCCCAGTCCTGGCAGGAAGTTGGACAGGGAGAATCGAATGAAGCTCAACTCTTTATGCCCCAACTCAGTACATTCCACCAATGGACATCCTATAGTGTCTGGTGCTGCCAGGGTTCTCTTACCACGGCAGTGGCCATCTTGGGGGGCTACCAGCAAAACTCCTTATACCCCTGCCATCTTTTTCAGGGACCGCTGACCTGTGAGAAACTCCAGAAACCCTTCCACACCAAAGCAGGGGGTACTACGCAACCTCATCATGTCTCTTCTGCCAGTTGAGTGGCTCAGCAACGTTCAGACAAGATGTAGTCACAAGTCTCAGATATAATTAGGGGGCAGGTAGGTGAGGTTATAAATCCTTCATTCCTCCAGAAGGTAACCTGTTTTGCTCCTGGTTCTCCCTTAAAACTGTCAATGCTAAAAGTCATCAAACCGGTTGAGCCTGTATTACCCTGTGGGAACCAGAATCCCAGGTCAAGAACGCCACCTTATCTGAACTTAGCCTTGGAGAATTGAGTAACTGTTCTCAATAGGACAATATCTCCACTTAAATCCTGAGATATTTGGTAACCTCTAAGGACAGGATAAGCTATCAGTTATGCTCCATATCATCCTGTTACACTATTCCTGTTGCAAATTCAGTTCATCAGTATCTAAAAAAAAAGACCCATTATAACTAAGTAGAGTCTGAGTAAATACAAGGATGGATCAATATTAGAAAATCTATCACTGCAGTCTTAACATATTAACAGATTAAGGAGAAAAGCCACATGATCATCTTCAGATACATAAAGAGGTATTAGATAAAACTGAACACTTATTCATATTTTTTTAAAGAAGGCATTTTTAAAAACTATTTTATTTATTTGTCAGCGAGAAAGAGAGGAGACAGAGGGAGAAGGAGAAAATCTCAAGCAGACTCCCCCCTGAGCGCAGAGCCCAACTCAGGGCTCGATCCCCTGACCCAAGATCATGTGCGGAGCTAAAACCAAGAGCAGGTTGCTCAACCAACTGAGCCACCCAGGTGCCCCTGCATTTTTTTCTTAATGGTAAAGTCACAAACAATAGGAACAGCTTTTCGAGTGAGAAGATTCAGTGTGATTTCTCATCCCTCATTTTCTTTGACTACTGCAGTATTCAGTATCATTATTTGACTCACCATTTCTGGGACACCGTCTTTGGGACACCATTATATGGCCTGTGTTGGGTGGCTTTCTGGCCAGTCCTCTCATTCTTTGCTGTTTCTACCCCTGCTGCCTTATCCCAGTCCAGTCTCTTCTCTCCTTTGAGGAACTCATCAGTTCTTACATGTTGAGCCAGTAATCCCCCTCAAAAGCTCTGTCTTTAGCCTGAGCTTCAGTTCCACATTTTCTACCACTGAACTCTTTGCTCTGTGATGCATCATTCAAAACAACCAGGCAACTTTTCATTTCCTCCAGACTTTTTTGTCAGTGGTATCCTCATTCACTTTGGGTGGAAATTCAGAGTCAGGCTGGTAGGTTCTATGACAGCAGGGAGTATGACTATCTTGTTCACTACCTGTGGCCTTGGGTAGTGCTTGTTACACATGGTAAGTTTTTAATACTAATTCCTTGAAAGACAGAATCCTTGCCTCATCCGCCTCTCTCCCCAACACCTTAAATCCTATCACTTCTTCCCTCATTTCTGTTCTTCTCTTGTATTTTCTCCATCTCTTGAGATTTTCTTTTATCCTGTGTCAAGCACACAGTTTCACAACCAGAAACCTTACTATATTTGATATGATAAAGATGAGATTTTTTTAAAAGCCAAACTAAATCCCTGAAGATAATAATGTTAACAGTTAAATCAATTGAATGACCAGTATGTTTAAGAAAGATTCCTTTTTATAGGCTAGGGAGTGGGAGTGGGGAAAGTTATAACTTTATATAAAAAAAAGAAAGTCCCTATAAAAAAGGAACTAATTGCTTTCTGTGCTTTTGTGTTGAGCCACCTCAATTTTTACGTCTTCATTTTTTAAATTGCCACGCCTATGGGCCAAAAGGGGCAAGGTGAGTCTTTCAGTATAGTTCCTAATATATAAATATATATTCTTAATGAGAATGAATGTTATATAAACAAACCCAAACATTCTAAAAGCATAAAGTGAAAACCGTTCTTTATCGCCCCAGCCACCTCCCATCACGGTACCCACAAGTCTTCTATTTCTCCAACTAGAACATTTGTATGCATCGTGTACAAGTCTATATTGTGGTAGTTTTAATCATACTTTTTTTTTAAACAAGTCTTGAAATAACTCATCTGTATACAACTCCCGTAGCCGGCAGTGTGGCCTTAATATATCGCACAGCTGTTAATTTTGGTTTCATTTTTGGTAGCTGCACTTAGATATGCCTGGTGCCTGCAGTTTCCACCGCGGTCGGGAGTTGTAAACACAGGGCATACAGAAATAGCACAACGGATAAAGAAGACCCCAGGGCCGCGGCGGCGGCCTGGGCCGAGCCCCACCCCGGGGGAACTGGCGGCCCAGCCCGGCCGGTCGCGCAAGCGCCCCACACCCACTCCCGCCCTGCAGAGGCTGCACGCCCAGGTTGCGCGCGCCGCGCTCCCGGGCCGCCCCCTTCGCGGAGGCGGCCGACCCAACCCCCTCCCCCCATTGGCGGACGTGGTGGGGCTGGAGCGCGCGCGCGCGCGTATACGCCCGGATGAGCCGCGGCTTCCGGCGCGCTCCCCTCGAACAGCCGGGGGCGCGCATCGGGCGTACCTCGGCTGGTTCGGCTCCTACTGGGGCCTCTGCGGCCCTGTGTGGCTGGAAGGAAAATGGAGCAAGAGCCCGAGCCCCAGCGGCAGCCCTAACCCCTCTGACCGAGGTCCTGCCGCTTTCGCCGCCGGGAGCTTCCTTCTTCTCCCGACCTGGTGCGTTCGAGCGCCCCAGTGGCCTGGGCCCTGCGAGTGGAATGGTCGCCGAGGCCCAGGGCGTCGGGGTTCTGCGCGCCCAGTGAAGGGAACTGGGGGGTCTCGAGGGTCTCCGCTCCCCCCAACTCCAGGCGCGGACAACCCCGCTTGGTGAAGAGCAGGTACCCGCCGGGAAGCGCGTGGGCAGTTCTGGGTTTATTTTGTGACTTGGGTCTCCCAGCTCGTTGTCCTTTGCAGCCTCTTCCCCGCCCGCAGCCTTTGTGCATTTGGTGGTGGGGGGGGCGCGGGGCACGTGGGTTTGTGGAGGTTTTTGTTGGTAGGACGCGAGGTTGTGGCCCCTGGGGAGGAGGGCGGGGTTTCGGGCCGGGGAGCCTGGCCCGCGGAGGCCACGGGGCTCCGCGGGTGGTCGGGGTAAAGGTCACGTGGGCGGGGGGTGTTGTGCTGCGCTGTGGTCTGCAGTCTCCCGGCTTGGGGTCCGGATAATGACAGGTGCCTGCGTGAACCCGGCGCCGTGTCTGGGCGAGTTTGGGCTGGTTCTGTGGGCAAGTTGACTCAGCTTTTCCCTTTGGGCTGGTCAAGTTCGGACACGTTCCTAGGAGGCAATAAAAGGAGCTAAGTCCTGACTTGTCTCCAGCTGGGGCTATTTAAACCATGCTTTTTCCCAGCTGTATTCATTGGCGATTAGAGATAGGTACCTGTGGTCAGCGACGTAGAGCACTTACTCTCTACACTGATCCAGGTAAGGACCTGCTTGCTACTGGCTTTAGTTTTAATAAAGACAGTATTTAAGGGCATTATTTATATCCTTTCCATATGACTCTGGTTTTTTTCACAGATGTTTCATTATTTCAAGTTTTTATCTTGTGTGTTTCTTTTTCCCCACTCGTAGGCAAATGTGCAATACCAACATGTCTGTGTCTACTGATGGTGCTGTAAGCACCTCACAGATTCCAGCTTCGGAACAAGAGACCCTGGTTGGTATTTTTGTCTCAAGTGTAACTTTTAAGAATATTTTATGAGGTGATCTACTAAATTCCATAGACCCCATTTATAGCATGGTTCTCTAAGTGAAATTGTATGTACACAGCTTAAATTCTGCCATTTATGCCAGGCATAAATGTAAAAGCTGACTGTAAGAATCGGTACTTATTTTCTTAGTCCTTTATCACCCTGGATTTAATACTAAGTTCCACTAACATTCTTAAGCATGGATGCTGAAGTTATGTTTGTTATTGACCGATTTTTTTTTCTATTTTGACTTGTCAGTATTTAACTTTTTAGATGGTTTCTAAAAGTCACAAAAGTAATTCATGCTTGTAAAGATTTGAGGCATTACAGAAATGTAAAAAGTGGAAGCTGAAAATTCTAGTCTTCTCTTTTGACCATGTTTCCTTTTAGATTTTTTCTGTGTGTGTACCCACATATACATGTGCAAATTTTAATCTGTTACTGTCTTGTTTTGTTCTGCTAAGACAGGTGTGCAAATTCCATCCATGTCAATACATCTATAGAATTCTGTTTAAGGGCTGCAAAGCGTTCCAAAGCATTAGTGTACCTTTTTAGAAATTTATGCCTCTGCTATAGGTTTTTTTGGATAGGTTTTTTTAAAAATTGCCTTTAGTTTTTGATTATTACAAATAGTGCTGCTTTGTACTTGTATCCTGTGTTATGTGACTCCTTCTATAAGATTTTGTATACAGAACTCCTGGGTCCTAAACTATACATATTTTTGATTGCTATTCATAACTTGCTAACAGAAGATTGTGGCAGTTTTCATCTCTGCCAACACTGCATGTTATCACTTTTTATTATTTTGCTATTTTTGTGGTAGAAGGGTCTGTATCATTGTTTAAATTTGTATTTCCCTGATCTCTCTTGAGAATGGGCATCTTGTCATTTGTTAAATCATTTATTTGTTCTGGGATTTGCTTGGTCTTATCTCTCCACTCTTCCTTTAGGTTTACTGTGTTTTTCTTAATTTGTAGTACTCTGGTTTCAAATTTATGTAACTTTTATCATTTACAAAGGTTGCATTTAGTTTTGTTGTCTTTTTCCTATTGAGAATGTTTTTATGAAGTCAAATTTATTGACTTGTTGGTTTTTGCATTTCATATCATGCTTTGGAAGAACTCTCCCATCCCAAGATTATACAGATACAGTCCTATATTTTCTGGTAGTGTTTTTAGTTTTCACATCTAGATCTTTGGAATTTATCTTTTTGTTATTAAATGTAAGATTAAGAATGGTATTGTCTTTTATAGTCTTCTTATTGCATGTCTTTTAGGTCTTAATAAAAAACTGATGACTTTCCATTGCAGATTTTTATTTTGAGTTCTATGTAGTTTGAAGTTAATATGCATAAAATTTTAGGAGGGAAAAAAGTAATTTTTTATCTTTCAAGAGAGAGTTCATTCTTTAAGTAGCCTGAAAGTAAAGTGTATATGTAAGCACACACTCAAAAAAGTGTGATCAGAACAATTAATGATTCAGTACCACACTTGTGTATTTTAAGTTTTTTGTTTATTATTATTATTTTAAAAGATTTTATTTGAGAGAGAGAAAGAGTACGAGCAGGGGGAGGGTGCAGAGGCAGAGGGAGAAGCAGACTCCCCACTGAACAGGGAGCCCCATGTGGGACTCGATCCCAGGACCCTGGGATCATGACCTGAGCTGATGAAGGCAGACGCTTAACCGACTGAGCTACCCAGGCACCCAGTTTTTTGGTGATTAAAGAATATTCTGTTGATTAGCTGGAAACAGGCAATTTTCTTAAATCTAGTTTTGAGAGTTAGATTCCAAACTGAGATGCTGTTAGATTTCAAAGTTAGGCAAAGGACAGGAGTATATTGAAGAGAGGCACAGAGGCATCAGTCTGTGTGGAGGTGGCAAGCTATAAAGACGCTTGAGTTTTAAAGATTTTGATACAGCAAGAGGGAGAAAGAGTATATTCTATCCCTGCCTCCTTGCCAGTTATTTTCTCAATACCACTTGGAAAACCTCTAGATCAGGGTCAGGCACACTATAGCCTGTGGGCCATATTTGGCCTCTTTGTAAAGTTTTATTGAAATGTAGCCATGGCCTTTGGTTTACATATCTGTACTTCTGAGTCAGACCATCTGGCAGGAAAAGCTTAAAATATTTACTATCTGGCTCTTTATAGAAAAAATTGACCTTTGCTCAAGTTGGTGGGTTCCTTGAATACAGCTCATGTTTTATTTATCATCCCCCCCCTCGCCCCCACACCTAACACTGTCTGGTGCATGGTAGAAGCTCAATAAGTGTTTGTCAGTAGATATTTGAAATGTAGGCCCACTAAGAGGTAACATGATAGAGTAGGAAGAAAATGATGGTTTGTAGTTGAGGGTTGTGAATTGCATTCTCAGATCTGCTCTTAAATTATCCTTGTTATTTAAGTCCTCCAGCCTTCGGGAGCCTAACGTGGAAAGAAAAGATTGGGAAACAGAGCTAAAGACTTACTCTCTTTTCTTGGATTTTGCAATTTAGTTTATGGTAATCTCATTGGAGTATTCCATTTCTAGTTAAGTTTGTAAGGTAGTAAGCAGATAATAGAAATAACTGGAGGAAAAAATAATTTTCACTGCCTTGGCATGGATACTGTGTTTGATTGCAACTGATGATACTTGAGGAATCTGTGATTATTTGTATAGTAATGAAATCTCAGCATTTTTTTCCAAATTGACTTGACAGTCTGTGATACTCAGTTTCTATAGTCGGATACAATTAGTGAAAACATTATGACTTAGTTTTTTAGTTCTAACCTTGTGAGATTGTCAAATATAACGTCTGCTACCTTTATTGAAATTCTTCATGGACATCTTGCTGTGAGGCTTATAGTTCTGGAATAATTTTGGAAGTATAATAGCAGCTTTTTGTTCTTTGTAGGTTAGACCAAAGCCTTTGCTTTTGAAGTTGTTAAAGTCTGTCGGTGCACAAAAAGACACTTATACTATGAAAGAGGTAAGCTAAATTAAGAGTTAACAAAATAACTCAAGTCTTGCTAGTTACATGTAGCCATGGGGAGAAATTGGCCATATAGAGGGATTTTTCAGTAAGCAGCAATATTAAGTGTTGTGGTCCTTTGGACTATAATTTGAAGCTGAAATTCTAATTATACTTGAATATCATTTCTCAGCTAGGAACTCTGAGACAGAGGGAGGCTCTGTAGGGGTTCTTAGCATTTTTGTGCTGTGGACCCACTTGGCAGACTGGTAAAGTCTTCTCAGAATCCTGTTTCTAAATGCATGAACCAAAATGTATAGGATTACAAAGGAAACAAATTATGTAAGATAGTTTTCAAAATACTAAACACGTTTGTGATATATGTGCTTTTTTGAGTGTGTTTTTTTATTAACACATTAAATAATAAGATTTAGCAGCAGATCTAATAAATGTAATTTCAAAGTAGTGAGGAGTACAGTTACTATTTTGAGATGTTTACACCATAGTATGATATGAAAACACTTGTGATTTTTATTGGTGACAGAAATCACAGATATTACTAATACTTTGTGGTTTGTTGCCTATATTCATAATTGAAGGAAAAGCTAAATTTCAGTTAAAAGTGAAAATATAGAAATTTTTTTTTCCCATCCAAATTAATGGACCCCCTGAATTCTATCCAAGGACTTCTTGGGCATCCATGGATCCCAGGTTAAGAACTTCTGCACTAGAGATACATGAGTACAGTATACTGATCTTTCTGGGATAGAGGTGAGCTGATTCATGAACATGTTCTATTTAATGGATACATTTCAATGTAATGTTCTCTAGCTTTAAATTTGTGCACAGAAGCATGATTTTCAGTGAGAGATTGGGCCATCTTAGGCAAAATTTCATTGTGAATGAAATGTGCCTTTTCCCCATCTCTCCCACTTAGTTTATGGGGCCCAGATTGTTTAAAACACCGAAGTAACTTATCTACATCAGGTTAGTGGGTCAGGAAGAGACCCTTAACCATTTTCCTTTTCAGCCACACTTTATAAACTTCATTATGGGATGTTTGGTAGGAGTGTAGGTTCTCTTCTTCCTTTCCCACTGTCAACTTATCTTCAATCCATAGTCACCAGGGAATATTCCTTTAAGTCTTAGGCCTTCTTAACCACTTAAGTCTACAGACAGTAGGGGAGCTTGCAAGGGGGTGTCGAGGTTAAGGATGTTTCCGAGGTTAAGGATGTATTTAGGGCTGTTAATTTGGGTTTGACCTCATTATCATCATGTAATTGGTTAAGGAAACAAAAAGGTATGCATTTAGTAGTAGAAATAAGGAGAAAATTGATCGGGCCATTATAGAGGTATAGAATGCCTATGCTAAACCATGTAACAGTAATATATATATTTATTGTCTGAGTTTTCAGTTGCAGGATCTTTGTTCTGGGGCATATGGGAGAGTGATGACAGCTAGTATGGGGTAGTAGAAAAAAACACTGGACTAGGAGTCAGAAGACCAGGTCCCATTTCCTTATCTTTAATACAGTGAAAACAATTCTATGAAATATCAGGGAATGAGGCAGTACTTGTAAAAGTACATTTAAACTGTAAAAAAATTCATACATATTTAAGTGGTTAATAGGTTTGTATGTGGATATCTTAAGATGTATCACCTCTTTGTCTTAATGGAGCATACAGTAACTATATGCATGATTCAGGGTCACTAGTTTGATTATTGTTGCATAGATTATATTGATATCTTCAAGAGTTTATTTTACTCACTGATTCTTCCAAACTGTTGTGTACATATAATTGGTTACTTTCCTGTGGTCCTCATCCATGATGACCTCATAGACTGTTGAGATGTATGGTGTTTGGGCCTATTTATTATTTACTAAATGACTCCAGGTCACTGCTGTATTTTAGTTTGCAACTTTTTATTGCTCTCAATGGTTTTGCATTTTGCTGCCTTTTCCCTTCTTCCTAGTATGTAGTACCTAGATATCTGGGCAGAGTTAAAGTCTGTTACATACACACACTTATTTAAGTAAATTGGAAAAGCAGTGTCTAATCCCATCAAATTAAAAGGAAAAGATTTAAAAGCTTTAAGAGTACAGAATGGTTGTTATTCTAGACAGTTACGGGTATGGTTGCAGGTTGTTTAAGCATCTTTAGATAAATGAGATATTGAATGTATTTGAAACTAACATTTAATTTTCTTTAATGCTCAGAAATCCTATTTCTATTTCAGGTTATATTTTATCTTGGCCAATATATTATGACTAAACGATTATACGATGAGAAGCAACAGCATATTGTGTATTGTTCCAATGATCTTCTAGGGGATTTGTTTGGAGTGCCAAGCTTCTCTGTGAAAGAGCACAGGTAAATTCTTCAGCTCCACTGTAAAAAGCCAGCTGGACAGACATTTCAGTTTACCTCCATCTTCACTGCCTTTTGTCAGAGAAAAATTGTTGCTGTATATATAAAAGCTGCAGAAATTTAATTTCTTAGTAATAATAGCATATCGCTTGAGAACCTGAGTTCTGGAATCTTATAAACCCGGGTTTGAGACCTACCTAGCTCAGTCATTTACTAGCTGTGTGACTAGGTAAATTGATTTATCCTAAGCCTCAGTTTACCCTACTTGTAGGGATAATATAAATACCTCATGTGGAGGTTATGAAGAGATAGTGTGTAAGAAGCAGTGTTTGACACATAGAAATCATTTAAATGTTAGTCACTGGGGCACGTCGGTGGCTCAGTTGGTTAAGTATCTCACTTTGGCTCAGGTCATGATTTCAGGATCCTGGGATGGAGCCCTGAGTCGGGCTCCCTGCTCAGCAGGGAGCTTGCTTCTCCCTCTCCCTGCTTGTGCATGCGCTCTCTCATATAAATGAATAAAATCTTAAAAAAAAAAAAAAATTGGGACGCCTGGGTGGCTCACAGTTAAGCATCTGCCTTTGGCTCGGGTCATGGTCTCAGGGTCCTGGGATCTAGTCCCACATCAGGCTCCTTACTCAGCGGGGAGCCTGCTTCTCCCTCTGCCAGCTGCTTCCCCTGCTTGTATGTGCATGCGCACTTGCGCTCTCTCTGACAAGTAAATCTTTAAAAATAAATGTTTGTCACAGTTACTATATATTAAAAAAAATTATTGCAGTTACTTTCAAAGACAGTCTTTAGATCACACTGTGGTAAAGGCTTAAGTTTGAGCCTTACTTTGGAGATTTTGTCATATACCATTACAGCACTTAATCAGCTGAATTTAACCCAGATGACATTTCTAGAATAACTCTACTGGAAACTGAAGACTTTTTTCAATCTTTCTTTCCTTACATTTGGAATTCCTTTTCCCATTTGGTTTAGCACAGTCTGTGTGGAGCTTAGCATGCATGTGTATCTTAATAAATGGAATGAATACTTTTCACCTGAAACAATTAACTAGATTCTAGTATTTAATGTTCAATAATGCTATAGCTAAAAAGATAGTAATTAAATGGAATATTTACAACTTTAAACAATTTTATTATATAAGCATAACGTATATTATTGGGCAATAGGAAAAGACAGAAAGCTAAGAATAGAAAAAAAAGACTATAGTTTGTCATTGAATGGTAATTTTTAAAAATATTTACTTATTTTGAGAGAGAGAACATGAGCAGAGGGGAGGGGCAGAGGGAGAGGAAGAAGCAGGCTCCCCCACTGAGCAGGGAGCCTGATGTAGGACTCGATCCCAGGACCCTGGGATCATGACCTGAGCTGAAGGCAGACACTTAACTGACTCAGCCACCCAGGTGCCCTTCGAATGGCATTTTTACCTGTTGTTTTTACATTATGTGCAGATGTGTTTTGACCCAGTTGTGAACATACCATATTTAATTTTGTCACGCTTCTTAATTTAACACTATATAAACATCTTTCCATTAAGAAATCACATTTATCTAATAAATTTATGTTACTATTTTATACTTGGCCTTGGGATATAAGCTTTATTTTTATAAATTTAATAAGTGTATTGGTGATTTGATTGAAGTATCTTTGACTTGAATTCTAGTATGTTGAGAGGTTAAACACTGGGGAAATTACTGACTTGGAAAAGAATATGAATAGGAATATTGATATTTTTGAGTTTATGGAGCTGTATCATTAATCCCAAAGGTGAAAAGAAATAGTTGGGATTGGCACTTCCCCTTAATTATGAGAATTAGAAATGATACCATGTGACCAGTAACATTGCCTAAAATCGTTAGTTTAAAAGAAAAGTGTACCATAACATCAGTGAAGACTAAAATAAGCGAATTGTCTTCCTATTGGGATATAAGCTCCATGAGGGCGAAGATTTATTTCCATTTTATTCCTTTTTTTTTTTCCCGTTTCTAGAACAGTGGTTCATAGTGAGTTTTCAGTCTGTATTTATTAAATGACTGAAGGAAGCTTCATCTTTTAATAGATTTTAAGATCAAGAAAGAAAATCCAGGGGCACCTGGGTGGCTGTTTGTTAAGCGTCTGCCTTCGGCTCGGGTCATGGTCCCGGAGTCCTGGGATCGAGCCCCACTTGGGCTCCCTGCTTGGCAGGGAGCCTGCTTCTCCCCTCCCATTACCCCTGCTTGGGTTCCCTCTCTAGCTGTCTCTCTCTCTGTCAAATACATAAATACAATCTTTAAAAAAAAAAGAAAGAAAATCCATTAGGTGATTGGTCCATGGTTAATAGAAGTCAAAATCAAGTTCTTCTGTAGTGGGTTTTGCATAATGCACTGCCTTTTTAGGCATTCTACTTCTAAGCTTTAAGCACAGAGCTAAAAATTTTCTGTTTGAAAATACATATATCAACCTGCTTTCTGCATTCACACCCTTGGGTCTTTTGGTAAAGTCCAAACAAGGCACATTTCAGGAAATGGAGATATGAAGTCTTTTCAGCTAGAGAGACCTTTGTGATTAGTAAGAGTAACTGTATGTAATCATTGTACAACTAATTATCATGCTACTTTTTAGGACCTAGAAGCTTGCCAGTGATATAGTTTGAATACAGTGATTTAAAATTTAGCTTGTGTACAATATAGTTCATGCTAATGTGTATTTAAAAGTCTGGTTAAGTCCAGTTTAATATATTTTTATTTTAAAATGTACATCTTTTTTTTCTCCCTATAAGGAAAATATATACAATGATCTACAGAAACTTGGTAGTAGTCAATCAGCATGGTAAGTTAATTTTGAATACGATAAACAAAACCATAAAAATATTTTAAACACATTTTGTGTATGTGGAGTCATTTAACAGGAAGAAATGAACTGCATGAACTAAAATAATACTAAGGTTCTAATGTCTGTTTCCAATATGTAAAGTTAAATACCTTATCCCATCAATTTAAGTCTTGGGATATCAGTATTAGAATTTGTTTTGAAAGATAATTTTCTGGTTTTTTTGGGGGGGGTGGTTTCACAAGCATTTATTAAACACTTTATTTTTAAAATTTATATTTTTATTTTAATTCCAGTATAGTTAATATACTGTGTTGTATTAGTCTCAGCTGTACAATGTGGTGATTCAACAATTCCCTACATTTAGCTGGTGCTCATCATGACAAGTGCATGCCTTAATCCCCATCACCTGTTTAACCCATTCCCCTACCCACCCACCCTCTGGTAACCATCATTTGTTCTCTATAGTTAAGAATCTGGTTTTTGGTTTGTCTCTCTCTCCTGGTTTTGTTTCTTTAATTCCACATATGAGTGGAATCATATGGTATTTGTCTTTCTCTGACTGACTTAACATTATATTCTCTAGGTCCATCCATAGTGTTGCAAATGGTAGGATTTCATCCTTTTTATGGCTGAATACTATTCCAGTGTGTGTGTGTGTGTGTGTGTGTGTGTGTGTGTGTGTGTGTGTATCTCACATCTTCTTTGTCCTTTTATCTATTGATGGACACTTGGGCTGTTTCCATAATTTGGCTATTGTAATGCTGCATATATCTTTTCGAATTGGTGTTTTTGTATTCTTTGGGTAAATACTCTTTAGTGGAATTAATTACTGGATCATATGGTGATTCTATTTTTCATTTTTGAGAAACCTCTATACTGTTTTTCACAGTGACTGCACCAGTTTGCATTCCCTCCAGCAGTGCGTGAGGGTTCCTTTTTCTCCACATCCTTGCCAACATTTGTTGTTTCTGAAAGGTAGATAATTTCAAGGCATGCTTACTCGAGATATAATCAAACCTTGAAACATGTATTGAAAGGCTTTGGGAAGTAATATAGATACCTAAGTAGGACCATTTGGATGAGCCCTTTTTTGTTGTTTTTTTATAGTAGACAAAACTTTATCAATTTATTCAGGTAAGTGGCATTTAATTTCCCTACCTGTAGACTTGCAGTTCTTAACTGGTTATTTTTGGGTTCCATACTCCTTGGATAAGCTGATGAGAGCATTGGGTTCTTATTTCAGAGAGATACACATAAACATATACAGTGGTATGCTGGTAAACTTTTTTTTTTTTTTAAAGATTTATTTATTTATTTTGAGAGAGTGAGAATGAGAGAGAGAGTACATGAGAGCAAGGAGGGTCAGAGGGAGAAGCAGGCTCCTCGCTGAGCAGGGAGCCCGATGTGGGACTCGATCCCGGGACTCCAGGATCATGACCTGAGCCAAAGGCAGTTGCTTAACCAACTGAGCCACCCAGGCGCCCCTGCTGGTAAATGTTTAACAGCCCACTTTTCAGGGGGAAAAGCTCTGATTTGTGGTGTTCACTGAGTTCCATGGTGTGAATAACTCCCACCATTGCTGTTTTCAGGCTACATACATGGAGTTGGTAAGAAAGGTATACAGTCCGCTTTGAGTACCAGTAGGAGCTGGCTCCCAGCACATCATTGACGTCTTAAAGCCCATCCTTGAACTACAATTAAAAACTGTTCTTAGAAGCTTGTTTACTTCCTACAGGGAACTGGCCACTCCTTCGTGCTTTCACTAATTCTGTATTTAGACTTTATTGTTACGTTGTTTTGTTATACTTGTTTGTATTTCTGTTTCTTGTATCCTAATCAGGTTTGCATTATGCATCAGCAGTACAGTGTTTTGTTAATATGATGTTTAATAAATGTGTTGAGTTGAATGCTCTTCCACAGTTAGGACTTAAGACCCAGAAAAGGGCATCACTGCCTTATCCTAGAGTTAAAGTGACTGTTAGACTGGTGATATGTTTTATTGTTTTACAGAGCTCTTTATGAAATCAAATGAAGGCAAATAAAACAAACTACTGTAGTATTATAGTAGTATTTTCAGTTTTCTTAAATATTATCCCTGATATGTTCATTCATTCATGGAAAGAAACCTTGGTAGATTACTAGAAAAATTTTATTAATGAGATGGTAACCTGTAGATTACTTAGGTTATTTCCATTCTGGGTTTGTTTCAGATTTCAGTTTAGTAGAATTAACTTCAGAACTCCTGTAACCGTGTTCTTAACCTGTCACACCTAGTACTTCCTTTTTATTACATCTGTATTGTAACATCTCTTTTATTAAAACAAAATATAACCTCTCTATATGTACAATATAGAGTATATGTATATCAGTATAATACATAACCCATGGTGTAAAGAAATAAACTATTATGATAAAGTGCATAAATTAAGAATGTTAATGTGTGGGCCTGACATTCCTATTAAGATGAAAATGTTTCCAAGAGAGTAACAAAGGGTATTTGATTATGATCTTTGGCAACTGTGTATACTCCCTATCTAAAATTTTGACTCGGAGCTCCAGGTCTATACATCCAACTACAAACGAAACCTACCTACCTGAATGAGTTTCATCCGCTTAGTTCATTATATTTCCATCCTAATCTGTTTATCTTCTGAAGTTTCTCTTGGTGAATGGTACCACCATTTATCCAGTCAAGGCAGAATCTTGGAGTCCTTCTTGACACCTTTCTCCCTTGCCTTGTATATCAGACCCTAGGCCTTGTTGGTTTTTACCTTTTTACCTTGTCTGGAATTGACCTATTTTCCATGCTTCGGTTTAGGCTTTGATACTTCGGCATTTGTATTATTGCAGTTACTGTCTAGCACTGGCCTCCTTGCCTCTGCTCTCTTTTTCTTTTTTGCCAAAGTGATTTGTCACTCCTCTGCTTCAAATGACCATTTAGGGGGTCCTTATTGTTCTCTGGATAAACTTGCTGTGAACTAGCAAATCAGTTTTATCTATTGGATTAAACCTTTTTAATGGTGAGTGGCTGCAGCAGTGCCACAGGGCAGATTCTGAAGTGTCGGCGGGGAAGAGTGCAATGATGCAGGCTTGATGGCAGGAGTGCTGCTTGTTGACATCCCTTGTGCTGTTTCACAAGACACACAGAATCCTTTATGATCCTGCTTACATTCCAGGAATAATTGACTACCTGTAATTCCCTGCAACAGGCATTGGTAATTCACTGCTGGATGCTTTTGTCATGAGGTGTTCCCTCAGTCTGGAATAGCCTTTCTTAGTTCTGCTTCTTTGTATTCTGTGTGAAACCTTTCCTGATTCCTTGCTCCTCAGACCCTGCCCTGTCCCTACCAAATAATCATTGCTCTGTGTTCTTCACTGATTTATCTTATAATACTTCTTTTATCCTGTTTATTATACTTTTATTACTCTTAATGTAATACTACTCAGTATTAAAATTGAGTTATCTTATTTACATCTCCAGTATCTAGCATGGGGTTGGCTCCTGGGAGATACACATTTAATGTTTGTTGAGAGGTTAAATTGTGTAAGGAGTTTGTCCTGGGCTGACCAACTAGTTTTTCTTTCTTAGTTTGTGATTCTTTGTTGTTGTTGTTTTTTCCCCCCCCATCAGAACCATCAGATTCAGGCACATCTGTGAGTGAAAATAGGTGTCACCTTGAAGGTGGGAGTGATCAAAAGGTAATCTTGAAATGAACACATTCTAGTAGGATGTTTCTTAAAAGTTAGGTTATTTTAAACAAATTATTATTAGCTTCCTGGTGTTAAAAGTTTTTGTTTTGTCCTCTCCCCCCCCCCCCCGAATGCTTAGGACCCTGTGCAAGAGTTGCAGGAAGAGAAACCTTCATCTTCAGATTTGGTTTCTAGACCATCTACCTCATCTAGAAGGAGAGCAATTAGTGAGACAGGTATATATGCTTATTTGACACTTTCAAACAGCTTTTTACTGTTTATTCTCTAATAAAATTAATGCATTTAGGCTTAATGAAATTGTGCTTTTTTTTTTGCTTTAGATGAATTTCTGAGTTTCATTTTTATTTTTATGTGATTTGGTTTAAAAATTGCTTTCTTAGCAACATTTTTTGGTTGACTGTAGCAGGCACGATTTCCTGGGCCCCACTGGAGTTCATAGTTAGCTATTATTCAAGATAATAGAGGACAAGCATAGAAACTCTATTTTAGTCCCTAGTTACCTTAACAGTTAAAATATTTGTTATTTCTAATAAGTGATAAAACACACCATTCAGTTTAAAAGCAAAGTGAATAACCTCTGGAACTGAAGATGAGATAAAATGGCTGAGAACATTTTTACAGAGAAAAGATAGTGGAGGAGGAGGAGGCTGTGTTGCCTGATCAAAAGTCATAGTAACTAAAACTGTATGATTCAGATGAAAGAAGAGTTCAGCAGATCAGTTGAGATAGAGTAGATAAACCCGGACTAGTGTGTACATGAGGGCAGAGGGCGGTGAGGACAGAGGATGTTTTGTTAACTGCATGGGACTGGAACAAATGGTTAGTTATTTGGGGAAGAAAAAACAAGTTCCATCTGTACCATATGCCAAAATGAATTCCAAATAAGTTTAAAAGATAAATGAAAAAAAATCATATTTGAAGGATACTTTAAACTCGACAGTGTTAATACCCTTATTACATAAAAAGCTCCCCAAAATTGATTAAAATATTAAAAATCCATATAGCAAGAAGGGCAGAAACCCAAGTTTTTCATAGTTAATACAAATGACTGATAAATAGGAGGGAGTGGATGGATTTTAGTGATTTCACTTTATAGACAATAAAAAATGCAAAAGTGTCTTTTCTAGGCTATCAAATTGGCAGAGATGAATTTTTGACTCATCCTTGTTAGCTTTTGTGTTGATACTGATGTACTATTGGTGTATAAGTTGTTGGTGTTAAACCTTTATGGATTATAAAAAGGCTTGTAGTACTTACCATTATTCCAGTAACTACTTCTAGAAATCTGTTCTAGAGATATAATCAGAAATTCAAAGATTATATATGTAGAGACACTAATTACAGCATCATTTATAATTGAAGACATACATGGTAGAAAATGCCATCACTCTAGTTCAGGCCATTGCCCTGTCTTTTCCTGACCATAGCAACAGCGCTCTGATTTTCTTACTCCTGCTCTCTGTGTTCCTTCATGTAGTTCCAAAAGAGATGGTAAAAGGTAAGTTGAATTGTATCACTTCCCACCTAGCCACTTTTGTTACTTCAATAAAACCCACACTTTTTGGGGCGCCTGGGTGGCTCAGTTGGTTAAGCGTCTGCCTTCGGCTCAGGTCATGATCCCAGGGTCCTGGGATCCAGTCCCACATTGGGCTCCCTGCTCGGCAGGGAGTCTGCTTCTCTCTCTCCCTCTCTCCCTGGCTTGTACTCACCCTTTCTCTCTCTCTCTCTCAAAGAAAGAAAAAGAACCTTAAAAAAAAAAAAAAAAAAGACACTTTTTACTTCAGCCTACAAGGCCATGATCCTACCTTTAACCTGGTTTTTGGCCTTTCCCCCCTATATTGTTTCCACTGTGCTGATTATTTGATTCCTCGAGTCAAAACTCCTTCCTGTGTTTGCACACAGTTTTTTTCTGCCAGCAGTTCTTCCTATCTCTGCTTACATGGTCAGTTCCTCATTTTTCTGTTTTTGGTTAAATGTGGCCTTCTGAGAGAGGCTGTCTCTAACCAGCCAGAAAAGCAGATTCTCTCTTCTTTCCCTTAGCCCCCTGCCTGTTTCCTCATAGTACGCATTATAGCTTGTAAATAATTATGTTTCAGTTGCCTTGATGTTTGAAGTTAAACTTCCTGTGGTGGCGGGGATGATGGCTGACTTCACTTTTGTATACCCACGGCCTAGCACTGCCACACAGTAAGCAGGTGCTCAGACTTGTGGACTAAATCATTGAATTATGATGAACAGTGTAGGGGTGCCTGGGTGGCTCAGATGGTTAAGCATCTGCCTTTGGCTCAGGTCATGATCTCCGGGTCCTGGGATCCAGTTCCTGTGTCAGGCTGCCTGCTCAGCAGTGGTCTGCTTCTCTCTCTCCCTCTGCCTCCTGCCCCGCTCATGTGCTCGCTTGCTCTCTCAAATGAATAAATCTTTAAAAAAAAAAATGAACAGTATATGAACCTATGTCACAGACACCATATTCTGCAGCCATTAAAAATAATATAAAAGAAGATTTAAGAGAAAACCATCCCAAATTGTACATTTAGTGTGATTCAGATATGTTTTTTAAAAGGAAATAAAAAATGAAAACTGGAAAACTGGAAAATTATTAGAGTAAACTTTTTTTTTTTTTTAAGATTTTTATTTATTTGACAGCACAAGCAGGGGGAGTGGCAGGCAGGGGGGAGGGAGAAGCAGGCTCCCTGCTGAGCAAGGAGCCTGATGCGGGACTTGATCCCAGGACCCTGGGATCATGACCTGAGCTGAAGGCAGATGCTTAATGACTGAGCCACCCAGGCGCCCCTACAGTAAACTTATAATATTGATTTCAATGGTAGCACTACAAATGATTTACATTTTTTAAAATTTTCTGTTTAAGATTTCTATAATGAATAATATAATACTTTAATAGTCACCAAAAAAGCCCCAAATATTATTTTTAATGGAGGTAAAAATTATGAATCAGCGTGGTTTAGGCTCTAAGATCACCTTTTATAGGGAATACAAACATGATTAAGAATTTCTGTCAAGAACTTGTGATCTAGTTGTGGAGATCAACACAGAATTGCTTAAAGTATAAGAGTGGGGAATTCAGAGGAAAAAGATGTCTTCTGGCTAGTAAGGTCAAGAGAAGGAAATGGAGTGAGCAGAGGTGTGCGAGTTGTACCTGTTTCGGGCATGTGGATTATAGTTTATTTAATCCCATAACCCTATTTGGTACTTAGATAAAAGGCTGTAGTGAGCACCTTGCCACATACATCCTTAAGTAATTATGCAGGTATTTCTCTATCAATCTCTAGGATAGAGATTGCCCACAAAATGTATTATTTTAGATTTTTACCAACAGTGTATAAAAATGTTCTCTCTCTCAAATCTCTTGAAACTCTCATTTTAAACTTTGTAATTCTTGTGGGTGAAAAATGGTATCTCATTTTAATCTCGTTGCATGTCCCTGGTCAGTAAGAGGTGGGAGATTTTTTCATATGTTTATTCTTTGTATTCCGTGAATTGCCTTTTCATATCTTTGACTTTTTTTTTTTAAGATTTTATTTATTTGAGGTGGAGCACGAATGAGTAGCAGGGGCAAAGGGAGAGGGAAAAGCAGGCTCTTGCTGAGCAGAGAGCCCGATGTGGGACTCGATCCCAGATGCCCGGGATCATGACCTGAGCTTAAGGCAGATGCTTACCCGACAGCCACCCAGGGGTCCCTTGACTTTTTTTTTTTTTTTTTTAGATTTTGTTTATTTATTTTACAGGGAGAGACACAGCGAGAGAGGGAACACAAGCAGGGGAGTGGGAGAGGGAGAAGCAGGCTCCCCACTGAGCAGGGAGCCCTATGTGTGGCTCGATCCCAGGACCCTGGGATCATGACCCAAGCCGAAGGCAGATGCCTAACGACTGAGCCACCCAGGCACCCTTGACTTTTTTTTTAAATCAAGTTTTGTTTGGGCGCCTGGGTGGCTCAGTTGGTTAAGCGACTGCCTTCGGCTCAGGTCATGATCCTGGAGTCCCGGGATCGAGTCCCGCATCGGGCTCCCCGCTCAGTGGGGAGTCTGCTTCTCCCTCTGACCCTCTTCCCTCTCGTGCTCTCTATCTCTCATTCTCTCTCTCTCAAATAAATAAATAAAATTTAAATCAAGTTTTGTTTTACTTGATTGGTGAGGACTTGAATATAATGGATAGTAACTGTTTTACGTATGTTGCATATATTTTCTTCCAGTTTGACATTTGCTTTTTAACTTTTATTTTGCCATGTAAGCCTTAATTAACATAGTCTAATGTTGATAAACTTTTTCTTGAGGGTTTTGCAGTGTTACATCATACTTCCCTACCCTGGTATTATAAGAATATTCTCTTACAAGTATTTGGATGGTTTTATTCTTTGTGTTTGGCTCTTTAATTCACTTGGAATTTATTTTTATATTTGATACACTACATGATAGGACTCTCATTTATGTTCCTGACAGATTTGGTAACATTCTAAGTCAGAGATAATTCATTATTTAAAATAAACCATTTTCACTGCTTTTGATTCCTATTGAAAATACAGGGTACTGAGGAAATTGGAATGTAGAAAAAAAAAAAACCTAAGTGGTTCAGTCAGTTGGGCATCCAGCTTGTGGTTTCAGCTCAGGTTGTGGTCTCGGGGTTGTGGGATTGAGCCCTGCTTTGGGCTCCTTGCTGAGCATGGAATCCGCTTGAGATTCTCTCTCCCTCTGCCCTTCCCATTCATGCTCGCTCACTCTCTGAAATAGGTGGTTCTTTAAAAAAAAAAAAAAACCTAAGTAAATTAAACATTTTTGGTTCTTTTCAGAAACAAATCTTATATCCTAAAGTATGATTTTTGAAAAAAATTTTGATTGGTTAATGAAAGCTCTAGATGGATTAAATTAGTTGTGACTTAATGTAGATGACATTCTGAAAGAAGCTTAAAATGCCTTTTTTTTTTTTTAAGTTTATTTATGTATGTACGTAAGTTATCTCTACATCCAGTGTGGGGCTCATACTCATGACCCCGAGATCAAAAGTCGCACGCTCCTACTGAGCCCACCACACACCCCAGAAGCTTGGAAAGCTTTTTTAAAATACAGTGTTCTGGGGGCCCTTGGCTGGCTCAGTCAGTAGAGCATGTGACTTGATCTTGGGTTCATGAGTTCAAGCCCCACATTTGGTATAGTGCTTACTTAAAAAAAATAGAGTGTTCTGTCATAGCTCTCAGTTGGATTGATCCAATAGAAGTGTTGACTTTTGAAACAGTAGTAATTGACTATTTTCTCTGTTTAGTATCACTGAAATTAAATTTTGGTACAAGTAGGTACTCAAGGCAGCTCATTTGCTACATGAATCACAGTATAGGGTTTTAATTGACTTGTCTTTCTTTATGTATCCAGAAGAACATTCAGATGAATTACCTGGTGAACGGCAGAGAAAGCGCCACAAATCTGATAGTATTTCCCTTTCCTTTGATGAAAGCCTTGCTCTGTGTGTAATACGGGAGATATGTTGTGAAAGAAGCAGTAGCAGTGAATCAACAGGGACGCCATCAAATCCGGTAATCTTTTCATTTTAAGTAAAACAAGATTCTTGAGGCACCTGGTTGGCTCAGTCGGTTAAGCGTCTGCTTTCAGCTCGGTTGTGATCCCAGGGTCCTGGGATCGAGGCCCGCATGGGGCTCCCTGCTCTGTGGGGAGCCTGCTTCTCCCTTCCTCTGCTTGTTGCTCCCCCTGCTTGTGCTCTCTCTCTGTCAAATGAATAAATAAAATCTTTAAAGACGAAAAAAACCAAGACTCTTGTTTTTAAAATCTAGTTCTAGAAGTCCTAATAAGCATTTGGGTAGAATACACATATATGCTGTGCTATTGCTGTTATACATAGTGCTAAATTTTTCTGTCAAAACTAGGGGCGCCTGGGTGGCTCAGTTGGTTAAGCGGCTGCCTTCAGCTCAAGTCAATATCCCAGGGTCCTGGGATCCCCTTCGGTGGGGAGCCTGCTTCTCCCTCTGCCCCTCACCCCGCTTGTGCTCTCTCTTTCTCTGTCAAATAAATAAACAAAAAAAAATAAAAATAAAACTAGTATATAAATCTTTTCTACTCCCAACCCCAGGTTTGAGAGAAAGGTGGGAGATAGTTGTGGGGTGTGTTGGTAAAATTAGTACCAATATTAATAGTTGTTAATGTCATCCTACATATTGGAGAATCTTTGTGGGCCACTGCACCAATAGTAAATTCAAATAAATTGGAGTATAGGATGGTCTGAGGATTTGTTGTTTTACTTTTTAAAAAATAAGGGAACAGAAAAGCAAATTTGGTTCAGTTAGATATCTTAGAATTCTAAGGCTGGTTGGTTTTGAATATTTAGAGTAACGGTATCTTTATTATTGTAGTTACCAACAAATAAGTCAGCATAGTCTAAGCTACACATTTGCCATATGTAGGCCTAGATATCAGGAAAGGTCTCTTTTACTAAGGCTGTGGAATATAAGTATGTTACTGCATGGATGGTGGGAGAGTTTTAGTACTTTTTGATTGTTGATACAAAATCCCAAAGAATTAGGAGTAAAATTCTTAAGAGATGTCACTGAAAGAAGTTTGGTTAAAAAAAAAAAAAAAGGTTTTTGCTAACAAGAATGCCTGACAAATGGAATGTTACCTTTCTTGTCATTAAACATTTATTTTTAAAATATTATTAAAAATAGAACTTTTATTTGTGATATGGCAGTATCTCATGGTCATTTTCTGGATATTAGTGATCATTTTATAGTTCCTAGAAGGTGTAAGGGACTGAATCAGTTGTGATAGTAAACTTATTCTTAACTTTTTCTGTATTGTTACTTCTTACACATATTATGTTTACATTTATCTCTTCCAAAGCAGTGATTTTAGTGGATACAGGATTTACTAGAGCTGTTACTTCTGTAGGCCACTAGATGGCGCGGAGAGCAAGTTCTTCAGTCAGTCGGTCTGTCGGTGTTTTCTGTGCCAGCTTCTGTCTGGCACTGGGGTGGAGTGGTAGTCAAGGTAGTTAGGGTCCCTGCCCTCAGGGGGAGACACATCATCAACAATGAAACAGGTAATTAAGACATTAAATAAATGCTATGGAAAAAAATTACGGGTTCTTGAGAAAAAGAAAAGTGCATTTGCCTTGCATCTTTCTTACAGGTTTAATAAATTGAGGAACTAAAGGCTATATTCTAGGCTCTATACTAGCCAGTTTATATGATATCTCAGCAGCCTCAAATTCCATTTACAGATGGGAAATATAAACTTGAGGGTTTTAAATAACTTGTTTAAGATCTCATAATAATTGCCACAGTTGGAATTCACGCAAAACCAGGGACTTCTGACTCAAAATTTAAGATCTTTCTGATGCTTTTTACATGTACAATATTTTTAAAGTTTCTGGGTTATTCTTTTTTGAACATTAGCCAAAACTTTAAAAAACAGCTTTTAATTTGCTTTCTTCATAGCACCCTAGAACAGGGGTCAGCAAACTTTTCCTGTAAAGGGCCAGTTAGTAACTTATTTTGGGCTTTGTGGGCTGTGTGGTCTTTGTTGCACCTACTCAATCTGCTGTTGGGTGTAAAGCAGCTGTAGACAGGAAATGGCTGTGCTCAGTAAGACTGGATTTATAAAAGTCAATGGGTAGCTGGCTGTACTTTGCCAACCCGTACGATCGAAGATACTTGCTGAGACTCCAATCTGTCTTGTGATTTATCCCCATATTCTAAACTTAATGCATTAAATGCTAGTTAATTGAAGTATCCAGTTTATTAGGTTACTTTATTAGAGATTATATTCTAGCTTGATGTGTAATATTAACCTGTTAATAGAGTCCTTGTTAAGAATTAGAACTGCAACTTGTCAGTTTTGCTTTTACTCCTGCTTTCCTGACATCACTAAAAGAACAGTCGTTTGACCTCAGTGTTTATAAAATACTTTGTTTTTATAGATAATAGAAATAATAAAAATTATTTAATCCAAACTCCTCTTACAGATGAAGTAGCTGTGGTCTTTACAGGTTAAATATGTCCAAGGTTAAATAGCTCCTTAATGGCAAATCTAGAAGTAGAACGTTTGTATCCTGATTCTTAGACCAGTGTACTTTTTCTAGTTCTAGCTTTCGACTTTGGTTATGTTCCTCTTAGCCACTGACAGCAAATATTATGGGATTAATGGTCTTATTAGGGTTCTTACACTATAAAATGAAGAACCACATGCGCTGATACAGAATTTTAAAAATAAATGTAAAAAAATTATGTCTGAAAGCTCTTCCAAAGAAGTTATTCTCAAAGTTCACTAAAAAATAGATCTCATGGGGCACCTAGGTGGCTCAGTGGGTTAAGCATCTGCCTGTGGCTCAGGCTTCCTGCTCAGTGGGAAGTTTGCTTCTTCCTCTCCCTCTGCCCCTCCCCCCTGCTCCTTCTCTCTCTCTCAATATCTTTAAAAAAAAATAAATCTTGTAATGTGTGGGTTGTAGCTACTAGCATTCTACGTCTGAAGATATGAAGAGATTAAAACATGTTTTTACCTCTTTTTAACTCTTAAAGTGTGTATAACTCAGATATGAGACTCATGTATGCAAAATTGTGTATAATGTATGTGTAAAAATATATAATTGTTATATACTTATATAAAATATATTTAATATGTAAGTAGTAAAGATAATTAAAAGTGGAAGTGCTCTCTTGGTTTTGGTATTGACAGAAGCTTTATTAGCAAAAAAGGATGAGTGGAACTTAAAAACTGGTTATTCCAGCGAGAGAGGTAAAATGTGGAAGTTGAAGTGCCAAGTTTGGTTGAGGGGAAAAAAATGTAGATCTGGCTGATTGTTCATATTTGAGGGGTCGGGCAGGTGTCTAGTTGGAGAGAAGATGAAAATGTTAATACGGTCCTATGTGAACCTTGAATGTCACGGGGATTTAGCCTTTTTCCTTTATGTAATGGGATTTTGAACAGGGAGAATAATATTAATGTAGTAATAACCCAGAATCTTAATCTAGTGTCATTGTGCAGGGGGGATCTAAGGAGTAAATACGACTGCAGGGAGGAGCTAGGAAGCTGTTACAGAGGCCGGCAGGTAATGTACTTTAACTTTTTTTTTCTCCCCCCTGATTTTAGGATCTTGATGCTGGTGTAAGTGAACATTCAGGTGATTGGTTGGATCAGGATTCAGTTTCAGATCAATTCAGTGTAGAATTTGAAGTTGAGTCTCTCGATTCAGAAGATTATAGTCTTAGTGAAGAAGGACAAGAACTCTCAGATGAAGATGATGAGGTAGTTTTATTTCTCTAATTACAGTCTAAAGTTCTTCAATATTTTCTGTATTGATGACAATTGAAATAATGTATTCTGATTTCACTTACTCTTTGACTTTTGATTTGTTCGAACTAGAATATTGTTATTTGGGCTTGAGGCTTTTGTAGTTCCTTGTTGTCTGATTTATATTCCTGTAACTGTAAATGTCAAAAAGTCAATACTCCTTAATGAACATTCTTACAATAGTCTTATTTTAAAAAAATTCCCCTTTGGGGAGCCTGGCTGGCTCAGTAGATGGAGCATGCCACTCTTGATCCTGGGTTCATGCATTCGAGCCCCACATTGGGGGGTAGAGTTTACCTTAAAAAATAAATTAAAAAAAATTCCCCTCTTTTAGTATTAATTTACTTTTTACAAAAGTAAAGCATGCACACAGTTAAAGTTACTGGAGGTGACTGCCGTGAACATTGCTATTTCACAGTTACTTAAAATCTCCATATTTATAAAATAAAAATGCTTATACTGAATTTTTTGCCTTACTCATTTTAAACATCCTGTCTGTTGCCTTTTAACCATAGTGGGTCAGGATTTCATGGTCCTCCACTTTTCCCCCTTTATACTCACTTATTCCATTTGACCTTTGTCTCAGAATTTCTCATATATAGTAGTACATGCTTTTCGTTTAGGACTTAACCACGAAGAAGCCTTCCTGGTTAAGGAAAAAAGGTGATGAATTGATGCTAATGAATTTATTTTATTAGGTATATCGAGTAACTGTGTATCAGGCAGGGGAGAGTGATACAGATTCATTTGAAGAAGATCCTGAAATTTCCTTAGCTGTAAGTATACATCTGCTTTTTTAAGTAATTACGAAAACAGAGGTTAAGGTTAGAAAAATACACCTAGTCTGCTTCCCAAAATGAAGTACTTTCTATAAAATTAAAATCTTTTTAGAAAAGTTTTAAAGCATTTTTGTTCTTTTATTTGTTGTGTCGGGATCTGTTACTGGATTTTTCTCTTTTTAAGATTTTACTTATTTATTTGACAGAGAGCAAGTACAGGCAGGGGGAACAGCAGAGGCAGAGGGACACGCACGCTCCCCGCTGAGCAGGGAGCCTGATGAGGTGCTCGATCCCAGGACCCTGGGATCCTGACCTGCACCAAAGGCAAATGCTTAACCAACTGAGGCACCCAGGCACCCCTGTTACTGAATTTTTTAGGTTTTTTTTTTTGTGTGTGTGTGTGTGTTGGGATTTGAACTTTGAAATTTTTTTTATTGAAAATTTCAAGTATGTACAGCATAGAGAGTAGTAGTATGTATTTCTAGTGTATCACCCAGCTTTCACAGTTAGCACCATTTTGCCATTCTTGTTTATTACTAGAGAATGTGGTAGGTAGGATTTGCCATTTAAGAATTCAGGACTGGGGCGCCTGGGGGACTCAGTCAGTTGAGTGTCCCAGCTCTTGATTTCGGCTCAGGTCATGATCTCTAGGGTTTTGAGATTGAGCCCCACATCAGAATGTTTTAGTGTTTCCTTTGTGTATGAAGTTAGGAAACACTTATTTGAGCCCAGGTTTTAGAGCACTTCTGAGGCAGTCTTAGTCAATGGCACATTGGGTGGTAGCGTCATCTAGATTGATTGGGTGGATGTTGGTCACAGCATCCAAGGTTGAACCTTTAAGGGAGTGAAGTGAGTACAGGCCTCATTTTAGAATAAAAGGCTATATCACACTTGGGCTTCAACTAAATGAACCAGCTCTGTCCTTGAACAGATAACTTTATTGGGACGTGGTTAAGATCATGGTGAATACATTTTTTGTTTTAGAATTCTGTAGCATGGTTTGGCTGAAAAAGTTATGTACTTTATAATCTCATGCTTGAGGAAAGATTGTTACATGTCAGATATTTTATATAAAACATGAAATGCTGAGAATTGAACTGTGTGATAGATTTTACCTCAGACATACTGAAGTTGCTAGTGTTGGCTATGACTAGTTGTATCAAAGGGTTACAGAAACTCTGTCTTTTTTCATTGAAGGACTATTGGAAGTGTACTTCGTGCAATGAAATGAATCCTCCTCTTCCACCTCATTGCAACAGATGTTGGGCCCTTCGTGAGAACTGGCTTCCTGAAGAAAAAGGGAAAATGCCTGAGAAAGCCAAACTAGAAAACTCAACACAAGTAGAAGAGGGCTTTGATGTCCCTGATTGTAAAAAAACTGCAGTGAATGATTCCAGAGAATCATGTGCTGAGGAAAATGATGATAAAATCACACAAGCCTCCCAATCCCAAGAAAGTGAGGACTATTCTCAGCCATCAACTTCTAACAGCATCATTTATAGCAGCCAAGAAGATGTCAAAGAGTTTGAGAAGGAAGAAACACAAGACAAAGAAGAAATTGTGGAATCTAGTTTTCCCCTTAATGCCATTGAACCTTGTGTGATTTGCCAAGGTCGGCCTAAAAATGGTTGCATTGTTCATGGCAAAACAGGACATCTTATGGCATGCTTTACGTGTGCAAAGAAGCTAAAGAAAAGGAATAAGCCCTGTCCAGTATGTAGACAACCAATTCAAATGATTGTGCTAACTTATTTCCCCTAGTGGACATGTCTATAAAAGTAGAGTTCTATATTTCTAACTATATAACCCTAAAAATTTAGACAACATAAAATTATTTTTTTACACATATCAAAGGAAGAAATTATCTGTACGTGTAGATTTCTTCTCTGTAGTGTAATTTACCTACTCTGGGAGGGGCGATAGTAAATGCTTCTTTTAGAAAAATTTCACTTTTGTTTATATTTTATATTTGGGTTTTAATGTAATTAAAATTGGACATATAGCTCATCTTAAACCCTTACTCATATTTTAAATGATTTCCACTTCTTTAAAATTTAGAGAAGTACCTGATTTTAAAAAATATAACATTTAAATATAAGTTATGTGCATTCAGGTTATGGTATGCAGTAATTATGCTACTTACAAAACATTCAGATCTGCAGATAGTTTCACCATGCTTATGCATTAAATTGTCTAAATTTTTAGGTTTAGTATACATATATTATTTATTGATTTACAAATAAAAATATTAAATGATTAAGAATTGTTTCAAGAATGATTATTGGATTTTATAAACTTTTATAATGAGTTCTGTTAAAACAGAAATTATACTTGAATATCATCTTATTGGGTAATCAAAGGTACAAGTGTGAATGTGCTTCTATTTTGGAATGGCCAAGACTGCCCTCTGTGGCAGTACATGTATGAATGGACAGCTTGATGCAGTAGGGAGCCTCCAAGGCATCGAGTAAGACTCACTTGAGAGAATGATGTTACAAATTTTAGTAGAGCCATGAAATGCTGTTTTCTCCTTTCCGTTCACTTGTGTTATCACGTGGCAGGTTGGCTTAAGTGGTTTCTCAACAAGTGATGGTGAATGTTCTGGAAGGGATGTAGCTGGGGCAGGGGAGGGGAGTTAGGACTAACCACCCTGCTACTTGTCAGCATGAAAAGCCCTGTTGTAATTTTCTGTAATTTCTCTGCATTTCTGAAGCTAAATTCCATGAGGCCGATTGTGACACCAATATATAGATGATCAATAAGAATTTGAGTGAATCTCAAAGCATTGGGACCTGTCTTGAAGCTGACTTCAAAGCAGAAATCTGCAGGCTCCAAAGTCAGACCAGAGTTAGCTGTTGGCATCATTTTGTTCACCTTCATTTTTTTTTTTTTAAAGATTTTATTTATTTATTTGAGAGAGAGAGCATGAGAGGGAGCATGAGAGGGAAGAGGGTCAGAGGGAGAAGCAGACTCCCTGCTGAGCAGGGAGCCCGATGCGGGACTCGATCCAGGGACTCCAGGATCATGACCTGAGCCGAAGGCAGTTGCTTAACCAACTGAGCCACCCAGGCGCCCTCACCTTCATTTTTAATGAAGGTTTTAAAGGTACTGATTAGCGTGTAGTGTGTACCTCTGTTGGTTTAGGGTGGTAACTGCAAGTTGTCACGGCATTGTGAAAAGTTCGTAGTTGCACTTGCTCGCTGTTTGGATTTTGTACTGGAGTTTGATTTCATCTTTACAGAGTGTTTCTTCAGCTTAAAAAAATACTGTTTAAAAGTTTGTGGCCTTATTGTCTATCATACAGAGCCAGCCTTCCTTTATATATGGTAGGGAATTATTGACATTTACAAGTACTGTTTTAAAAAGAAGTATTCTTTTTAAAAGATTTTATTTATTTTGACAGACACAGCGAGAGAGGGAACACAAGCAGGGAGAGTGGGAGAGGGAGAAGCAGGCTTCCCCAGAGCAGAGAGCCCGACGTGAGGTTCAATCCCAGGACCCCGGGATCATGACCTGAGCCAAAGGCAGACGCTTAACGAATGAGCCACCCAGGCGTCCCTAAGAAGATAAATATATTAAAGCAGCAGCGCATAAGGTGCTCAGAAGTGTTGAATATGTTCAATTATAAAATGGACTGTTAACAGGAACTGATAAAAAGCCACAGAACATAGAACAAGAGTAGTCTGAAGTGCGAGCAGATGGGAGACTCCCCACATGTTCAGTAATTTATTATAGGTAATACATTTCAAGTGAGGTACTAAAATTGTTAGAATTATATTTTGGATAAGAAGACCGTAACTGATTTTTTTTAGGAGAGAGATGATCCTAAAACAAATTTTTGTTCTCTTTTAAAGCTCTTTAAAGATTCATGTTTTTAAAAATTATGGACGTTGGAGCACCTGGTGGCTCAGTCGGTTAAGTTGTTGCCTTTGGCTCAGGTCATGATCCCGGCCTCCTGGGATCGAGCCCTATATATATATGGGGCTCCCTGCTCAGCGGGGAGTCTCCTTCTCCTCCTGCCCCTGCCCCCCTCCCGCTCGCTCATGCTCTAATAAATCTTAAAAAAACCTGATAAACATTTTCCTTTCATCCTGTTTCAGTCCCACAGATCTGCTTGAAAATATAATTATTTAGATGTCCTACTAATAAAGTCAACTTATTACAGTAGTATCTTTCACATTCCAAATTGCAAAATTTGTCTTTTTTTCCCCATCTTTGTTACCGTCATGTTAGATGAATTCCATTTAAACATTTCTCAGTTAAATTATAGTACTACTATGTGTTAATTTTGGTTCACATCTTTCCAGGTCACACCCCGTATTAGGCCTTTTTCCAAGATCACAGTACAACCTACCTAAATTGACCTCCCTGCCTTTGGTCTCTCCCATTTTTGGTTCATTTATAATTTACAGATAGCTTCATGTTGGTTCCCCGATTTAAATACAGAAAAAAACTTCAATAATTCTATTGTTGAATATTGCAAATGTTCTGGGTGTTCATTTTAGACTTTTAGACTTCTCTAGAAACAGCTACTTTCTTTTCACCATTGTACTCTTAAACACTTTGGCTGCAACAAAGTTCATTTGTATCCTCTCTCATGAGTTATTTTTATCCTAATGGAGTGGGAAGGGCTAAATTCAAATAGCAGATCAGGTACCTGCTTTGTGACCTTAGAATCAGAGACAAATCTATAGAGCTTACTTACGACAGGGTCTGGCAGGTAGTAAAGAGTTATAAATGGTAGTTTTTAATACTTTTCTTGTATCCATTGACCATTTATGACCATAAATGGATACAACTCCAAAACGCAGCTGAATTAGCCTTGAATTAACCCTATCTTTTTTCCCTTCTACATTGTCTCAATTCTGAGGTACTTTGTTTACACTTAAATTTATTTATATGTTGCTTTGTATCTTCTCTCCAAAAGCAGGTTCTAACATCCGTTTGTATCTCCTCCCCCCCGCCCCCGCAGGTGCCTAATATAATGCATTGTGTGGACAGTAGGCATTCAGTAAAGGATGATTGTCAAAGAAAACAGCTATGTAGTTTTCTCAAATTTATAAGAGGAAAAGACAGTTTTAAAAAATATCCAGAAAAAAGAGTCTGCAGTATTGCAATAATTGCAAAAATTACTTCAAAGGCAAAAGAGAAACGTTCTAACAAAACAGTGGTTTTTCAAAAGTTGATATGCTATCAGGATTGTAACAGAATTGGTAAAGCTTTCTTAAAACATCCCTCTGTATTGTTTTTCCACCTTTTCTCACATTTATTTTGTTCTTTTTTAAGAGGCAAATGAGAAGACCAAATCTCTTTAGTTAAAGACTTTTCTAACCACAAGGTGGAAGCGCTGCTCTGGGAGTTCTCTGCAGGCATCCTTTAATGGTAGGTAGACCTTTAATGGGACAGAACACTCCCCCTGGGAGAGCTTGCTGGGCTAGAGAGCAAAGACGTGATGGGAGTTCTGCTCTTGCTTGTTTAAACACAAACTTCCCATCTTGGTCCTGAAATCCTTCAGTATTCATCCTTTAAAACTTCATGTCCGTGGTCCATAAGGGAAAACAATTTTTATTTTTATTTTTTTAAAGATTTTATTTATTTATTTGACAGAGAGAGACACAGCGAGAGAGGGAACACAAGCAGGGGGAGTGGGAAACGGAGAAGCAGGCCTCCCACCGAGCAGGGAGCCCGACGCAGGACTCGATCCCAGGACCCTGGGATCATGACCTGAGCCGAAGGCAGACGCTTAACGTCCCTTGCGCCACCCAGGCGCCCAAGGGAAAACAATTTTTAAATTAACTTTGACTTAAGTAAGTGTTACTTCAGCATAAACTCTGGGAAATGTTTAATGAATGTGTTAAGGTGTAGCAATTACCTGTGTAAACTGGTACCTCTAAAATTTGAGGTTCCAGTCTTTAAATCATTCGCTTTTCTTTCATTATAAAAAATAGAAATAGAAAACTTTTCAAAAATGAAGTTGGAAAAAAACCCCCACATAATTCTGTCATCCAAAAAAATGGACTAATTACTTGTTTTACTTCTTTTCCCTATTCTAATATTTTAAAATTTAGTTCATTTTAAAATTGTACCTTTTGGGGGGAGTAGGGAGGAATGGACCCTCTAAAGAACTGCAAATATTGAAGTCTAGCTAAAATGTTCCATTTAACTTCTGCCAAAGGGGTTCCTACATACAATGAATTCTCTTGAAAATAGAAGACCTTTTCCCACTTACTAAGTTGAGATAGTTATCATTTTTTAGAAATTGGTACCTCTAAATTAGCCATTTTGTACTCAGCCATGTCTCATTTAAACTGTTGTATACATGTTTCAGAGGGCAACCTTGAGTCTGTCCTTGGCTGGAAATTTGACATCAGGGGTTACAGTGATGAGGGCTAGGGGCTGTTAATTTTCCAATTCTTACAGAAGGCAAATCTTGGTTTATAACTACGTTCTGTGTTTCAAAAAATCCACAAAATTTATTACCTAGGACAAAAGACTTCTCCCTGTACCAGCATTTTCCAAAATGTATTTGGTAATAAAGGAATGTAAGTTCAGAGGGATGGTACCAGGCTAAACTATTTAAGGAAATGGTTCTCTGGCTTATGTTTGGAAAATCCATTTCTTTCCTGCATGATTTTTCAGAGCCTTTACTACATTAATGTGCATTTTGAAGTTTGCAGTTTTTTTTATTTTTAATCAGAAGGCACATTTTTCATCCATCATCTGCCCCATGGTACAAAGTGATTTAGAATATAACATACATAATAGGTTGGGTATTTATCATAACTGTCCTGGAGTGACTGGGTTTTGAAGAGTTGTTGCAATATTATTGCCTCATAAAACGATAATTAAATTTGGTCTTGTCCAGGCTTTATTTGGTGGTAATCAGTTCTGTCTAGTTATGTAGACTTTGTTACATTTGCATATTTGTTTTTAAGGTAATGGTAATGGAAGGAAACTGTATTCATTGCTTACATGAATATTCTTATTAAGAATCAGGAGGGGCGCCTGGGTGGCTCATTTGGTTAAGTGTCTGCCTTTAGCTCAGGTTGTAATCTGGGGGTCGTGGGATTGAGCCCTGCATCAGGCTCCCTGCTGAGCAGAGAGCCTGCTTCTCCCTCTCCCTCTGTCTACCCCCCTGACTCGTGTACACTCTCTCAAATAAATAATAAAATCTTAAAAAAAAAACCAAAAACAGGAATATTCTAAATTCAGAGGTTGTCATGGCCCCTACCCAATAAACTTTGTCTTAGACAATTTGTGCAAGTTCTTAATTATAGTACAGAAGAAAGTCACTGAGAAAACTTATAAATCAGCTGTGAAACATCTATAAAAGGCTGTGGAGTAGTTCATATGCTAAGTAGGATAAGATGTTTTGTGGCCAGTAGAGTATCTGCTTATTAGTGATAGAATGTAAAGTCTCTAACGAAGTTCAACTCTTTCCCTAAACTTCTACTTTAGGTATCATGAGGTGGTTTGTTTTTGTTGTTGCTTTTTTTTTTTTTTTTTGGCTCTTCAGTAATCATTTTCTCCCCCTTTCCCCCATCTAAAGTCATGAGGAAGATATAAGGATCTGTCATAAAATAGACAACTGTATTGTTACTGTGGAATAAAAACCAAACTTCTTAATAAGCAATTTATTATGAGACAATATGCTGTGCTCATTTTTTCTGGATTCCCTAGGAAAGGTATTTCCACTCCAGTATCAGATATTTTTACTTTCTAAAGCTAGAGGTAACTTCTTATAACAATTTTAAAAACATTACAAATGCAAATTCACTTCGGGAATGAAACACAACATTGATTTCTTAGACTTTAAAAAATGCTAAGAGGCTTTTAATACTTCTGCTCTGAATGTGATAATTAAGTACCAAAATCAAACTGACACTTACTTGTGGGGACTTAACATTTCTCTAAAATACTCCCTTCCATTTAGATTCACTCATGTTAACATTTATCATAATTTAGATAGGTACATAAAAAGCTGTGTTAGTTCAGGAGATGCCTTAACTATTATTAATGCTCATTCCACCTAGCCAGTGTTTCAGTTTTCAGGTCAATTCTGTTTGTATCTGAGACAAAAGACCTGGTCTTTAATAAGGTATATTCTGCTGCTTTCAAAATATTTATGTCACCCAGTGTTAGTTATCCTTTCTCTGCCTGGCCAAGTACCAAAAAGGACATCAAAATAATGGCATCTTAAACTGCTGCTTTTGATACAGAATCAGTCAAGCAGGGGCCTTCATTTAACAGGTAAGGAAACTGAATGTGGGGTGGGTTTGAACTCAGCGGTCTTGCCTTCTAATTAAAATCTTACTCCTGCATTCTGTCGTCTTTTCTCTATCTTGTAACCCTTTACCATGTTGTTTCCTTCATAAAAGGAATTATACCCTGAACTCAGGACCTGAGGAGCATAACCACCAGTCTAAGAGGGTAAGATGTCATGTGTGGAGATTTGGGGCTCTGGTCTGAGTATAGTTGGAAGTACATGGTGGCTTCTCCCTTTGGACACTTAACTTGGTTAGTGGAGATTCAATCATACTAAACCCTCACTACAAAGTTTACTTCTGAGCACTTTGCTGCAAAATACGTACCCTGAACATGCTCTGTATTAAATTCACGTTTGGTATAGATTTGGTTTCGAGATTGCTTTACTTGTCTCTAAACGATTTTAAGTTTGATAAAATTTCTGATTTTAAAAATATTCTTTCCTTAAGGAGTTTACATTAAGGCTCATGAACCAGTTCAGATTTCAGTTCATGTCCCTTTGAAAATTGGTATCTTAGAAAAGTTAGGACTCAGAATGTCTGACTGAAAAATAAGGCTTGATGGTAAATCGAGTTTATGTGCTTTGTTGCATACCGAAATCATTTCTGTAATATTGATACATACTTTCAAGTACATAATAAATTACTGTTTATTTAAATAAAAAATCAGATATTCAAGTTATTACCAGATTTTATAAGAGATAAAAAGACTACAAATTCTGTTTAGATGAACAAGTATGATTGGCACAGGAATAGCTCCTAAGTGCCCAGGTATCTCCCACTCATTTGTGGTTCTCACGCATTCATCACATACCAAGCACAGCATAGCTTTGTTTTCAGATCCTAGAGAACTTTCAATTTAAAGAACCAAGGCAACTCATATTCCATGAGCAATGCATAGCACTTAGAAATCTGCTTAGGAGTTGCTATTTTTTGTTTTGATGTTTCCCCCTTAATTCTTACATAAAATGTTTTAAGATAGGTTAACTCTCATGATAGTGGAGAACAGTTGTTTCAATTGAGTACTAATGGTAAAAATTTTGTTTTCTGATTAAAAGGTAGTTTGTGTTGTTAACAGGTAACAATACATTTACTATGAACCTTAGGATAAATGCAAAGCGTAATAACACCACCATATTTGAACTTATTTGTTGATACGTATTTGAAAACTCTTCTGTCAGTGTTGCTACTGAGCTAGAGATTGCCAAAGCATAGGACCTCATTTGACAAAATGACTCAAAGCCCAACACAAGTTTCTGGGAGACACTGGGTGTAGTAGGTTCATAGAACTCTTTGTTCACTCATTCGTTCAGTTTCTACTAAGTACTGGGCTCTGAAGATTAAAAAAAAAAAATGAATTTTTCAAACTAATTAAATAGACCCTGGCCTCAAAGCTCACATTCTATTAGGGAAAATCACACATGAAAGTAGAAGATTATAATACAGTTGTAAATTCCTAATAGAGGTAACCCATTTGAGTACCAAAGAGGAAAGGTTCCCAGATTGACTGGGAGGGATGAATGTCAGCAAAGGCTTCCTGGAGGAGTTGACACCTGAACTGAGTTTTAAAGGAGTGGGAAAGAAAATGTAGTGGTGAGTCAGAATGGTGTTCAGATACGGGACACAAACCGTGCATTAAGTGTACAGGAACTATAAGCAAGTTGATTGTTGTTGCTTGTTGAGTAGACCTTCCTCCCCAGTGCTGTGTGAAGATGGATTTGAAGAGGAGAAGGCTGGGCGCAAGAGACCAGTAAGACTGCTGCAGTGGGGGCAGTGAGTCATGATGGCCTAAACTGACAATGGTACCAGCCACGGAGAGAGGGAGAATCAACCAACATTTATAATTCACAGCAATCTTTAGTGACTGACTGAATATACGGGCTGAGGGAGGAGGAGAAAGCATCAAGGATGACTCTCGGGTTTCTAGTTCACTGGTACCAGAGACAATACAGGGGGAAGAGCAGCTCCAGGGAGAAAAATATGTCCCATTTCAACATGATGAGTTTGAGGTACCAGTGGGTCACATCCAGGTGGATATGCACAGTGGGAAGTTGGGCTTGAGTTTGAGGCTCAGGCAAGATGCTAGAGTTACACACTTGGCGGTCCTCAGCATAACAAAACTGTGGCATCTGAGTGTGGAAAGGTTTAACTGACCTGTTGTTTTGGGGCTCTGTATGTAGAACCTTGTCATCCCATCAGGCCCATATTGTTTTTCTTGGGCCACTGAGACACGGTTGCCTCTCTCCACTCCTATTTCCTTAGAACATCTGTGACGTGAAATATTCCCAGTCCTGTCATTTCTCCCTGTGCTGAGAAGTAATTACATATGGCACTTACTATGTCTTCACATATGGCACTCATGGCCAGGTTTTGTAGATAGTAGGTTATCAATGAATGTTCATCTTCATTGCTTATATTCATCTGGCTCTGTATACAAAATTTGCTCCATTTTTTTCTTGCAGGAACTTCTTTCTTGATTCTCAAGTTAAATTTCTAAGACAACTTCAAGGTTAAGTGTAGTGGACAGTACCTGAAAGGTAGGTTTCTTCCATTCATCAAGATTAAATCATTCCTTTGTTATCACCACACATTGCTTGTTGTGGTTTGAAAACAACCATTTCTCTTCTTAGGGAAGGACCATGGCGTTTCTTGAGTCAAGGTCCCACAGAGGGAGTTAACAGAGTTGCAGTAACCTGGCATGAGTAATCCCTGATTCCTGGTGATGATGGGGGTTGTGTTTCACATTTTGCTTTATTTGACAAATATGTGAAAGACAGTCACTAAAAATAAGAACAAACCAGGCTTTGTTGCAGCTGAATGGCTTGGCAAATCACTATACAGAGGAATCTTAGGACATGAAGGATTTGATACTGGGATAGAATCCAGTTGCCCTCTGAAGGGAAGTAAAATATCCTTTTTAAGAGCACTGAAGTTCTGGGATTTTTCTGGAATAACCACCTTTGTGAGGTATGGATCGTGTCCAGGGACTGTAACCTGAGAGGAAACAAAAAAACAATCATCTGAGTGATTTCAGATGTTAAGTGGTGCCAACACTAAAAACACTGACATCCACCACTAAAATGTGGCCTTTATGAAACACATATAACCAGCTGCCAGGCCTCCCAGGTTAGTAACAGCTTCAGGCCGACTCACTGAATGAGTTGTCCGATGCCTGTTGCCCAGAGTTATGAAGTGAAATAAAGACAGGTCCCTTATCTGGAGATGTATCCTAGGAGAAGGAAGCCATAGACTGATTGTCTCCCCATCATTTTTATGGAGAGCAAAGGTAAAGAATTGACTGTTTTCCTTTGTTCCGAGTCTGTACTTAATATCCTGATTGGGTATCAAGAATATTTGTAAGTGGAATTCTGTTCTCAATTTATTCCATTTTCCTTGCAGCTTTACAAGTTTACTGCTTCCTCAAAGGCTTTGATTTTACCTGGCTTTCTCTCTGAGTCTAAATCTTAAGCTAGATTTATTGACTGACTGATTGACTGATTGATTGATTTTGGTGGAAGAAATCAGGAAAAATAGGACAAATGCTAAACTAACTACAGATGATGTCCACCGAGAAATACTTTTTTAAAAAAAGATTTTATTTATTTGACAGAGCGCGAGCGAGCATGAGTGGCACCAGTGTGGGGGTGGGAGGTGCGGAATGAGAGGGAGAAGTAGGCTCTCCATTGAGCAGGGAGCCCAACATGGGGGCTCAATCGCAGGAGCCCGGGATCATGACCTGAGCTGAAGGCAGACGCTTAACCAACTGAGCCACCCAGGCGCCCCTGAGAAATAGTTTTATTATATATGGAGAAGGAAAATAATGGGGGTAAATCATTTACGTAAGCTCCAGTTGGTATATATTTTAGTCATTCATTTCAGCTTCCAAAGTCTTGCCTTCCAACCTTGTCCTAGAATTAGAGGCTAAAGCCAACACGTACTATGGTAGTCTAAAGGGAAATGAACAATTCATAATTTTATAAAGGTGTGCCTTATTTTGGGCATTACATAAAAATAATTTAGATTCATTACAAAGACACCCATACACACACACGTTTTTTCATGGAATGGAAATGTCACTGTAACAGGAAAATAAAGGGCCTTTTTAGGCAAAAATTCACAGTGAATTGAGGTCTTTCCAGTTCTAGGAGAGATTCTTAAGATTAGCAGTTGATGGGCCCCCTGCTGGGCCCTGTGGGACTAACCTATGGAACAGAGAAGCTCTGAATCCTAGTTTTATGAATTGAAAAACATGCCTTTCATTATTTCACCTTTAAGTTATGACAGAATGTAAAGCCAGTTTTTACTACTGAGTAGATGACCACCTTTTCCCAGGAGTCACTCTATATGGAATGACTGCTTGTAGCTGGCATCAGACCCACTAAGCAAAGGAGAAGAATCTTGAGAGTTAGAGAAAGTCGTATCAAGGAGAAAGAGGCACAATCAGGCCAAATAAATCAGGTACTTTTTCATTTAGTTCATTCACATGCATCTGTTTGGGCTCAAACTAGTCCAAGCCTCCCTTTAGGAATAAATGACTCAGACATCTTCTAGAATTAAACCTGGAACTTTACATGCATTGATTGGAACTCAACATCATTTGCTTATGGAAGGGCTGCAAAATATGTCTATTACTAGCTTTATATAGTGGTAACATTTGTGGATCAAATTTTTATAATGAATTCTAAGGAACTTATGTCCCAGTCCATTTTTTTAATAGCAGAAATTATGTCTCATGAAATGGGCATTGAAATGGTATTCCATGAAGCTTGGAAGTACTGTAACTACATTGTTTAATTATTCTTATTAATAATGTTCATTCCATCTTTTATCATAGGACATGTCACAAGAAATAGGTTTGGGCTTCTATTAAAAACACTGCCAGTTGGGAAAAAACATGAGTTGTTTGTTATGTTCCTATTATTTCCACCTCTCCCACTCCCTTCCAAATGCAAGTCTGTTGATGACCTTCCCTTCTGTCCTGATGTATCTACTTTTGGGACTTTCCAGACTTATTTTGGATTCCTTCTGGGTAACTACTGCAAGTTCTAAAATGTTTTAATAACCATAACGAGGGCTGTATACTTACATTTATTACATAGGACCCAGGCAAGAGAAGAAGATAATACTCTCCAAATTTGTTGGTTCTATAAGGGCAGATATGTTTTCTGTCTTGGACTTCTACAATTACATTGGGTAATGGATTCCCATTCTGATCAAAAACTTGACCCTTTATACCTGCAAGACAAAAAGAACACTAAATGTTAACACTACATTTTATGACATATGAAAAAGAATTCTTGTAGTTATTTAAGAAAAATACACCCAATATTTATTAAGTTGTTTGGATGATAATAAAAGGGGCGCCTGGGTGGCTCAGTTGGTTAAGTGACTGCCTTCGGCTCAGGTCATGATCCTGGAGTCCCGAGATCGAGTCCTGCATCAGGCTCCCTGCTCAGCAGGGAGTCTGCTTCTCCCTCTGACCCTCTTCCCTCTCGTGCTCTCTATCTCTCATTCTCTCTCTCTCTCAAATAAATAAATAATCTTTAAAAAAAATAATAATAAAGTATTTAAGGGAAGGTAAACCTTCCCAAAAATTGAGATATAATTGTCATATAGCATTAGTTTCAAATGTACAACATAGTGATTTGATATATTTGTGAAATGATCACAATATATCTAGTTAACATAGTTCAAGATTTTTTCTTGTTTAGAGTTTTTATAAATGGATGTTAAATTTTGTTAAATGGTTTTTTTCTGCATCTATTGGGATGATCATATTATTTTTATCTTTCATATTTTGTTAATGTGGTATATTACGCTGATTTTGCAGATGTCGAACCATCCTTGCATCCCTGGAAAAAATCCCACTAGATCAAGGAAGGTCCTTTTAATGTATTGTTGAGGTTGATTTGCTAATACTTTGTTGGAGGATTTTTGCATCTATGTTCATCAGGGATATTGGCTTGTAATTTTCTTGTGTCATGGTTTTGCTATCAGGGTAATGCTGGCCTTGTAAAATGAGTTTGAGAGCATTCTTTTCTGTTTTTTGGAAGTATTTGAGGACTGGTATTAATTCTTCTTTAAATGGTAAAATTCACCAATGGAGCCATCTAGTCTTGGGCTTTTGTTTGAATTAGTAATCAAAAACATGCCAAAAATCTCCTTACTGGTAAAAGGTCTGTTCAGATTTTCTTTTTTTCATGATTCAGTCTTGGTAGGTGTATGCTTCTATGGATTTAACTATCATCTAGGTTGTCCACTTTTTTGGTGTATAATTGTTTAGTCTTTTATGATCATTTGCATTTCTGTGGTATCAGTTACAACATCTCTTTCATTTCTGATTTTGAGTTCTTGCTCTTTTTTTCTTGGTGAGTCTAGCTAAAGGCTTATCTTTTCAAATAACTAGCTCTTAGTTTTATTTTTTTTTCTATTGTCTTTTTAGTTTCTATTTCATTTATTTCTGTTCTTTGTTTCTTCCTTCTCCTAACTTTGGGCTTATTTTGTTCTTTTTTTAGTTCATTGAGGTGTAAAGTTAGGTTGAGATTTTTTTTTTTTAAATTTTAATTCCAGTATAGTTAACAGTGTTGTATTAGATTCAGGTGTACAATATAGTGATTGAACAATTCTATGAGATCTCTGTTTAATTGTAGGCATTTATCCCTCTGAACTTCTCTCTTAGAACTGCTTTTGTTGCATCCCATAAGTTTTGGTATGTTGTATTTTCATTTCATTCATTTCAAGATTTTGATTTCTCTTTTGACCTACTGGTTGTGCAGTAGCATGTTGTTTCATCTCTGAATATTTGTGAATTTTCCAATTTTCTTCTATTAATTGATTTCTAGTTTTATACCACCGAGGTTGGAAAAGATAAGATTTTATTTATTTATTTACTTATTTATTTGACAGGGCATGAGCACAAGTAGGCAGAGCAGTAGGCTGAGGGAGAGGGAGAAGCAGGTTCCCAGCTGAGCAAGGAGTCTGGCATGGGGCTTAATCCCAGGGCCCTGTGATCATGACCTGAGCTGAAGGCAGATGCTTAGCCAAGTGAGCCACGCAGGCACCCCAGCCTTTGTAAATTTGTTCCATGTGCACTTGAAGAAAATGTGTATTCTGCTGCTGTTGGTTGGAATGCTCTGTATATGTTAAGTACCATTTTCTGTCTGGATGACCTATCCATTGATGAAAGTGATATATTAAAGCCCCTTACTGTTATTATATTGCTGTCTATTTTCCCCTGTAGGTCTGTTAAGATTTGCTTTATATAGTTAAGTACTCCTATGTTAGATCATTTTGTTGGATTGACTCCTTCATAATTCTATAATAACCTTGTTTCTTATTAGTCTTTGTCTTAAAGTCTATTTTGTCTGATATAAGTATAGCTATCCCAGCTTTCTTTTGGTTTCCATTTGCATGGAATATTTTTTCCACCTCTTCACTTTCAGTCTGTGTGTGTCTGAAGTGGGAGTCTCCTGCAGGAAACATACGTAGATGGGTCTTATGGTTTATTTATTTTTACTTATTTTTTTAATTGATCCAGCCACTCTTTTTATTGGAGAATTTAGTCCATTTACTTTTAAAGTAATTACTGATAGGTATGTACTCACTGCCATTTTGATAATTGCTTTCTGGCTGGTTTGTAATTCCTTTGTTCTCTTCCTTTGCTATCTGTTGGTTTTCTAAAGTGGTATGCTTAGATTCCTTCATCTTTTTTTATGTATAGGTTTTTGCTTTCTGGTTACCTTGACACTTACATAAAACTGTAACAGTCTATTTTAAGTTTATAATATTGCATTCTAAACCTTTGCATGTTTACTCCCTCCTGCCCATATTTTACATCTTGTTATCTTGTGTATCCATTAACAAATTATTGTAGTTATATTTTTGCTACTTTGTCTTTTAACCTTCATAATAGTTTTGTAAGTGATTAACCACTATCTTTACATTAGACTCTTCTGAATTTTATTAAAGATTTACCTTTACCAGTGAGTTTTTGTATTACTAATTAGTACCCTTTCATTTCAGCCTGAAGTTCCTTTAAACTTTCTTGTAAGGCTGGTCCAGTGGCGATGAACTCCTTAATTTTTGCTTGTCTAGAAAATCCTTTCTCTTTCAGTTCTGAAGGACAGCTTTGCCATATATTCTTGGTTGGTGGTTCTTTCTTTCAGCACTTTGAATATACTGTGCCACTCCGTTCTGGCTTGCAAAGTTTCTGTTGAAAAAAAATCTGATAATATGGGAATTTCCTTGTATGTAACAAGTTGTTTTTCTCTTGCTACTTTTCAGATTCCCTGTCTTCAACTTCTGACACTTTGATTATAATGTGTCTTGGTGTGGGTCTGAGTTCATCTTATTTGGCACTCTCCGGCCCTCCTGGATCTGGAGGTCTGTTTCCTTCCCCAGGTTAGGGAACTCTTCAGCCATTATTCATTAAGTTTTCTGTCCCTTACTCTCTTCTTCTGGGACCCCTATAATGCGAATGTTGGTATGCCCAATGTTGTCCCATAAGTCCCTTGAGCGATCTCCACGCTATTGCATTCTTTCCCTTTTGTTGCTCTGATTGGATTAGTTCCAATGCCCTGTTTTCAAGTTCACTGATTTTTCTGCTTCATCTAGTCTGATGTTGAGTCTGTTGTATTTTTCAGTTCTATTACTGTATTCTTCAGCTGTGTGACTTCTATTTGGTGGTGTCTTGTAATACCTCTTTGTTGAAATTCTCATTTTGTTCATGCATTGTTCTCCTGAGCTCAGTGAGCATGTTTATGGTCATTATTTGAACTCTTTATCAGGTAAATCACTTATCTCTGTTTCAGTAAGGTCTTTTTGAGGCTTTACCTTATTTTTTTGTTTGGAATATATTGCTCTGTTTCTTCATTTTCTTTGACTCTGTGTTGGTTTCTGTATATTAGGTAAAACACCCACATCTTCCAGTCCTGGAGGAGTGGTCTTTTGTAGATGAACCTTATCATTCAGCTCTGCCCTAGCTTTTGGTTGTTTCTCAAACCTGATTGTCTAAGCAGCCTACTTTATTCTTAGTAGTTCCCAGTAGTTGAGGTTGTGCCAAGACCTATCAGTACCTAGATTCAGGCCGATTGTATTCCAGACCCTCAGGCAGAGGCTTTTAAAGGATGCAAATAAATCTCTTTCAGGGGAGGACTGGGGGATGGATGGGTCTCCCTATTCCCTTTACACTGAGCCCTGGGGTGAGAGCCAGTTAAGAACTGTTTGTTTGCTAGTGTCCTGTGGAGCCATGAACACAAACCCCACTTAGGCTACCAGAGCTACTAAGCGGTATCCCATGGATGGTAGCCCCCAAAACTGGGGCACCGGATGCATGCATGGATTCCCTTTTGGGAGAGACTGGTGAGCTGGAGGGAGGGAGAGTGCAAACATGGTTTCTGCCAGCTTCCATCTTTGGAGAGTATTTCAGTAGACCCCTAGATGTGTGTTAAATTAGATGCCTGCCCCTCAGGTCAAAGCTTTAAGACCAGCAAATAGGCCTTTGTCACAGAAAAACTGGGCATCTTTCAGTTGGCTGGCTCTGCACTGGGCCCTGGCAGGCAGCCAAGTGCACCTGTGCGGACCCTTTAAGAACTATCTCCCAGTTTGAGGGTCTTGTGGATGCAAGCCCCGTGGCTTTCAAAGCTAGGTGTTTTCAGGGATTGTTTCTTGGGTAGCTTTTAAAAGTTGGGGTGCCACATGTGGGGTTCAAACCTTTTGCTGCTCAGGGAGAAGTTTGGAGTTGTGAGTTCCTTCGATGTGGGTTGCTGCAACAGGGATGGGGTGTATGGCAGGATCGTGTCTCAACCTCTCCTACTCGTTGCAATATAGGTTTATTCTCATTCGCCCAATGTGTAGGAACGGCTCAGGTAGTTTTGGGGTTTCCATATGTAGCTATAGATTCGGTGTGTCTGTGGGAGGGGATGAATTCAGGATCCTCCTACGTTGCCATCTTGAACCAGAACTTGGTAAACTTATTTTTGATGTAACTTAAAATACAGTCAAGCTAACAATCAGATTTATAGACTAAATTTGTTTATTGTCAAATAGTCCATTTATGGCACCTAGTATCAAAATAAGAACACAGATGACAACCTAAATCCATTCCTATCTTTTCCAAGTTGCTTACTCAGTCACCAAACTACTACAACATTGTCCTCGGTAGATTCCACTAAATCCTAAACTAAAAAATGCCCGTGTATTTACAAAAAGCAGGGGAGGTGGGGGCGCCTGGCTGGCCCAGGCAGTGGAGCATGTGACTCTTGATCTCGGGGTCATGAGTTCGAGTCCCTATGTTGGGTGTAGAGATTAGTTAAAAAAAAAAAAAATGCCAGTGTATTAATTTACAATAAGATACTTACCTATGCAAGGGCCTCAATAGTTTTGTCTCATAGTCAGACTAGATGGGAAACAATTATAATCACAAGATTGCTTGGAATCATGGGATTGGTTAATGGTGTCTTATTACTAATAACAGGAGTGAACGTTTATTGTTAGTATTACAGATGAGGAAACTAAGGCTTTGGGTTATTATATAACCTTAAGCTCCTACAGCCTGGCTGTAAATCCACACTAGTCTCCAGGGCCCACACTGAACCTGACACCATACCCCTCACCTCAAAATTTCAGGAGTACAGTTAAGAAAAGGTCATTTTAAATGTTATACTTCACCTTCCAGTGTGTTCACTCAGTGACATATCATCTTAATGACATAAGAAGCCACAAGGAAGAAATGACCCTGAACTATTCCCAGAACATTTTACTTAGTAATTATTTACTGGAGCAGAAAGATAACACAGCATAATTTTAGTTCCTTCAGAAAAGTTTACAATGAAATGTAAAATTTTGACACTTAGCAACAAAATCTTTGTCTCAAACATTAAGCAAACTTCTGCTTGACCCAAGTTGCCTTTCACTTTCCTAATTCTTGACTCTTCATTTTCCACCCCCAGAGAAGAAATTACTAAATGCCATATTTCCTTCTCACATATTCAACAGACAGCAGCTGTGAACCTCTAGTTTCAGGTAATTTGTCCTTCTGCCTTTTCTAAAAGTTTCATTTATATTTATTCCTATTACTTGGTATGTATCCTTTTGATCTTTGTAGGTAGGATCCAACTATAAACATCAGTCATGACTTAGTAACCCAATTATGCATTTATTCATTGGGTATCGGTGGCATTATTCTTTGAAGAGATATTCCCCTCATGCCCTTCTTAGGAGGTCTTCTGACACATTAGGTAAGTACAGATAGGTACCAGTCAGTCTCAGTGTAAATCCCAGGTCACTAAACATTCCCAGATTCAGTTTCATCACCTGTAAAATGGAAGTGATATGTACCACTTTCCAGGCCTTCCTTCCCAGACAAGGTAAGCCAGAGACAGCCAGAGACTTGGAGATGGGTCCAAGTCTCAGATGCATCTTAGCAAGTGGTGAAGCTAAGCCCCTGAACGCAACACCGCTTGATAAATATCAGTACTTTCCTTAAACCACAGCAAAACCAGCAAGAAGGTTTGGTCCCATCATCCCCAAGCAAAGACAGTCTTTGGCTTCCTACTACACACTGAAATGGAGAGAACCTATCAAGTGACAATAACCACACTATTAGTGTTTTGAAATTGGGTTTCATTATTAAATTAGAAAAAAAAAAAAGCCTGTCTTAAACCACAAGGGGGCAGGGTTGATGTGTTTATATATATATTTTTAAGTAGGTTGTGCATACCTGATTATAGGGATAGGCAGATGAATATTCTTTATAAAACCTATGGACTTGTAAGCCCTCCAAATTAGTAATAGTCATGTTACAATGTGCACGTTACTTAACAGTTTACAAAGCTCCTTCACGGGCATTATTAGGTCAGCATGACACTTCAGAGCCCACCTTAATTCAGTGCTTGGAAAATAACCTTTACAGCTAGACTGAAATTCTGAAAAGAGTAGTGCAGTTATGTGGAACATATTTCTTGTTCAGCTGCACTCCCATGTTGATGCTGATGGAGAAATTTTACAATAGGCAGAGTAACACTAAATAAGGAACTACAATAGAAAGGCTAAATTACTATGTGCCTCATGAGGAAAATCTAGTAGCAAAATACCAGAATATTAATTGAGAGGACCCAATAATCTTAGTAAATGCTAAGATGCTGATGAAAAAATGACTTCTTTAACATCCCTTATCACAGGGAATTGGCCTACTTCATACGTGTCTCAGCCCTGTGAATTCACCAATAATCTTTGTGCACCTGTGCTGTGGGGGGGGGGGCGGGGGGTTGGGGGGGGGGGTATGAAAGGGGGGAGGGGCATATATGGGGCCACAGGAAGCTCTTAATTATCCTTGTACTCAGCCCTGGACCCCCTGTGTGTCTGACTCTTCCCTCCATCTCACTAGCAGGTGGAAAGTTTTGGGGTAATTACAGGAATTGTGCAGCTATGCAGCAGGCCTATGATGCAACCCCTCATCGACACAAACCCACACCTACTTTAGCGTGATGTAGGAGTCTAATTACTATGCCAATTTCTGAAGCCCTTCTGAAGGGAGAGAAAGAACTTAAACCCTGGCAATGCAGAGAGGCTTCCACTCCCCGCCCACAGAGACGCAGCCTGGCTAAAGAAGCTTAAACTGCATGACTCCATCACCATCACAAGCACTGAGTTTCTCTGCTACAGTGGTTTTCAGAGCGTGGTCCCTGGACCAGCAGCACCAGCATCTCCTCGCGGAAGATGCACCATTCAGGATTCACTAAATCAAACTCCTGGGGCTGGGGCCTGGAAATCTGTTTTCACCAGCCCTCCTGGGAGTCTGCTGTACAGGTTTGAGAACTATCACTCTTGCCCGGTTAGTCTGTCCACCTGTGATAAAGAGACGACCAGCCTGGGAAGACTTCCAGGACCAGGTAGGTCATTTGGCAGAGTTGCAGGGTGTGAGGGGTTTGAAGCTAATGGTGCTAGGTCAGCATCCCAGTACTAAGAAAAAGGCAAAATGGCATGTCCAGTGTTCTCTGGATCTATGATATTGTGTGACAAGCAAACGGCATTTCCTAGATGGGGAATGATTTAACAGAGTAATGACTTGTTTTCCTGGATCTTTTGTGAGATTTCCACATGAAAAATTGGAGGTTGGAAGTACTCTGGATTTTGCACCCCCATATTAAAGTAACATACATCATGCTTTCTCTTCTATGAACTGATGGGCACTGCATTTCTCACGTGCTGCGGATATTCATGCAGAGAAAATTCTTAATCGTTAGTTCTGGTACTCAAAATGAGGCTCTACCAGGAAAACAAATAGGGGCTTGCATTCTCTCAACCCAAAGGTTTTGCTAGGTGCTATGTTTTGTGTTAATAGGAATTAATAAAAAAATCTTACAAACCTAGGTGAACCTGTTTTATATATTCAATCAATGAGGCCTTGTTTTTATTCCAGAAGAATGGAAGCTTCTCCTCATGAGGATATTTACAGCATGACAGCTCCAACGTAATTTCAAAACACTGGGCCCAGATGTAGTTGTAATCTTGCATTCCACCTAAACACAAACATATTTAATTTTTTAAGGTCTAAAATTGGAATGGAGTCAAGTATCATGTATCTTGGGGACAAGTGAATCAGACAGCTGCAAGGAAAGTACATGTAAACAGGAAAAGACGAATTTGACATATTAGCATATAAACTCAGGGCTTGACGTTTTATCACCCAGGCATGAACAGGCAGTCCTAAATACTCCCATATGGGTAACTGGATCAGAGCAGGCCCAAGTTCAACTGTGCAACCAAGGGGGAGGGGAAGGGTCAGTCCTTTTTTGTCAATCATACTTTACAAAAAGGATTCATCAGTGTACATTTCTTCTGTAAATTACATTCTAAACAGATACGGAACAATACTTCTAAAAAACTGTTTGCAAACCATTCATAAATACATAATTGTAAAGCTAAGTACACTCACTGGGAGAATAATGGCTAACATTCAGTGGGCGTTTGCTATGACTGGGGAACCATTTGAAGAGCCGGTCACGGCAGTGACCCCCCCCCCCCCATCTCAGAGACGACGAGACAATCCCAGAGGGTAAGTAACATGCATGTGAGTGCACAGCCCAGCACAGACTGTCCTGCTCAAGGCCCTGTGCTCCTGCCCGTGACACCGAGATGCTTCAGGAATGAAAGAGAGGGGGCGGGGGCCCACACCCCCTTCTGAGGCCACCAGTGCCCATGCTCACCTCCCAGTTCTCACCTCTGGAGACCCTATTTTCAAAGGGCTATAGTCCCATTTTGTATTTTCTCAGATGCAAGACTTCATATTTTAAAATCTGAATTGGGAGGGGTCTTAAACTTGATGGCTGAAAAACATCATTAGATTGGCCAGGAACATTTTTGTTTCTTCCTTAGTGGTACAGTGTATTTTATAATCAGTGGCATCTTGGATTTGATGAAATACGGTAACTTTGAAGGAAGTACTTTCTGCCAGATTTTGTTATACTTGATATCTGCCTAATAAAATATGTATTCTCAATTCTGTCGGGGTATTTGGGAAGTACTGAATTAGGAAAAGACTTCATGCTAAGAAAATAGTCAAAATATATCAAAATATTAAGTAATATCTATGTAGGTCTAGATTCTAGCAGGAAGAATTCCTCTGTCCTTTGTATTTACTCGCCTTCTAAGTTTTGTATTTCTCTCTGACCTTGTTTTCACCAAGAAATAAAAGAAAAAGAAACAAAACCGAAGTCCTGGGTTGGATGGCTCTCAGACAGAAAGAACTGAAACAGCAGAACAGGCGTACAAAGCGTGCAGGAATGGGGCTGCTAAGCGTGGAGTGTGTGTGCAGCTCTGGATAATGCAACTCAGGCCTGGTGGACAAAACCTCCAGACCGAGCTGGAATGCTCTGTTCTAAGCTCCTCAAAGTAGCGGGCTCTGCCTGCCTTTCTTGGGGTACACCGCTTCTCGACAGCCACGTTAGCTTCCTGGCTCATTCCCCACACATCTGGAACTGCCTTGAAGGTTACAGACGGCCCATGAGGGACAGCTCTGCCCTGGGGCAGGAGGGAGCCCTTGGCTGCCTGTGAAGAGTGAGGAGCAGGGCGTGGGCCTGTGGTGGGAGCTGTATCGGGGACAACAGAGAGGAGTGTGGGGTGCTGCGGTGTCTAGCTGGCCCTGCTGCTTACATCACCTGGGAAGCTGGCAGAGACCGGAAAGTACCAGCTCATGCAACAGGACGGCAGAGCCTGTACCTCCCAGTGACACCTTGGGAAAGGGGCCCGCGTGCCGCAACGCAGCCTACTGCTCCCTGCGGGCAGGGTCAGGCGAACCAGTGTCACGGGGGGCACCTTCCACCACTGAGGCCCAGTCCCCGCCCACCCTCTCCCCAGCTGCTCTTCCGCCCTAGGGCCCTCCTGCTCGCTCAGGCGCCCGACAAACCCGAGTTCTCCTACACCCCTGGGCTTGCTTAGTGATTCCTTTCACAAGAACAGCCCCCTGCCCCCAATCCCATGGCCCTACATAGCGGTCTCCTAACGCCCTCCCTCACCGGGCCGTCCTGGTCCAAGGGCAGAAAACTGGACCCTCCCCCCACCCACCACCTCATATCTAGCTGGAAAAGCATTCTTGTTCAGCTTGCAAAGTGGCTTTAAAAATCATGATACCTCACGTACAAGTTCAGCTTGTTTTACAAACCGGGCGATCTGGCGATATTTGGATCCCCCGGGCGCGTGGCCATAAGTAGCTGGATTAGCAGGGGTTCCTGGTCGATGTGACCTAAGCATTACATTTCTCCAGGGTCTTCTCCACTCCCTGTTGTACTCTGGCTTTCTACCTCTCGGGCACACTACCTTTTCCAAACCTCCCATTTTTATTCTAATTACACTGCCACCACAGTTATTTACTTGCGTGCTGCTCTTCCCTATTAAGCCTGAGGGTAGGGGCTGTGTCCTGTTCAGCTTTCTTGGCAAAGTTCCTGGCTCATCGTAGGCAAATGCTGAGCGAGCATCTGAGCAGCTCTCCGGCCATCAGGCCCCAGTGCTTCTGGGCCATGAGCTGACAGAAACACCACTAAAGGATGGCACCATGCTGAACAAATCTGGACAACTGCTGGGGTCAACAAAAGCCAGTGGCACCTCTGGATGAAGGCAATGGGAGAATGCTAGAAGGGAAGAGAAACTGACCTTTGAGTGGATACCAGGAGTAGCCATTTGTGATTCCATTAGGAAAGTTCATTTTGTTTTTACACTGGTCTCCTTTCTTCATGGTGGGATTTCTTGAAGCGTAGGTATGTGCAAGGTGTTGAAAAACATCGTCGTCAGGGGTTAAGCTACGGGAGTGTAACGTCCCAGTTGCTGTGTGTGAAAAATAAACCAAGACCTTTCTGTTGGTGTCGGAGTACAAGTACTTGGAAACGCGTGGCGCCGTGTTAGTAAACACACCACCGCATCACATGCAAAGACCCTGCTTTCCCAGAGGGACGCGTGTCCACTTCCACAAGGGCTCCCCCTACCCTTTCTCCTCGTTTCTAATGAGCAGACACAGGGTGATACCACACAAAACAAACTAGATGCATATTCCAACTCCTCCTGTATCGGCTTACAAGGTAAATAGCCTCTTAGTCACTCTCACTCATTTCTGGGGGGTGGCAAGCCTTCCTTACATACTGTAGGGGTTAAATAAAGGCACTGCGCTCGTTTTAAGTCCTCATCCCACAGAGTTTTAAGAGGAGTCAAATGATTGCTCCTATGATTAGCAAAGAAAGGTAAAGTTGTTCCGGTTTTATTTACTTTCAGGCATGTTGCCTCTTGTGGGGTATTCTAACCCGATTCTACTATTTTCCCGATGAATCTCAAATAATCCTGGGGGTTGCCAGGTCAGCCACCGTGCCCATCTGCAGTCTATAAATTGTAGGAAGAGTGGCTCAGAGGTGAGAAAACGAGGCTTTTCCATCCCTGGCCGCAAAGGGCAGAGCTCTGGCAGACTTCTTCCCCTCTGGAGGCCGACTCTGCAGTCCCACTCCGGGCTCAGGAAGCCAGGCCGGGCGCTGTTTGCTCACCTGGAACACCGTTGTCAAATGGGTAACTGGCCACCAGGGCGCCGCCGTGGAGGTTTGCAGAGAGGACAAATGTCTCTGTTTTCAGCCATTCCATGACAGCCACAGTCTCAGGCTGCCTTGACACATTATTAAATTCAAAAGCATCGGGGAAATTTCTATTCAGGTCATAGTAGTTATTATTTTCCCTTTAAAAGAAAGAATATTTTTGGGTTTACTGATGGTATGTGAGGAAGTGGACGCGTGCAGTGTGTATCCCTTTGGTTTGGGCTCCAGGTGTTCTTCCAAATGTGAGCACAGGGAAGGTGGATGGTCGCCTGGGTAGCCTCGGAGGGCCACCCCTGGCATCCACGCACTCCCCAGCCCCTCCCGTGTGACTGGCTCTTACCAGGGGGGATCGTAGCTGTTGTGCTGTAAGCAGGGGTTTGACGAGTGTTTGCATTTCGGGGCTTTTGCTCTTGCAACACTCCCTCTGGGAAACCTGAGACTCTGGTGCTAACCCCGTGGAGAGTCCGCCTGGAGAAATGAGGAACCCAGGTGACAGCCAGAATTGAGACTCCAGACATGTCCCAGGCTGGTGGTCTCAGCCAGCCCCAGCTGAGGCTCCAGACAGGATGGTACAGAGACTGGCCAGCCTTGCTCTGGCTTGTCCAAATTCCTGACTTACAGAATTGAGAGTAAATAAAAAGGGTACGAATCCCTAAATTTGGGGATGGTTTGTTACATAGCAACTGATAACAGAGACAACAGGAACACACTACTTTATACAAATGTACTTCTGGAAAGTGGACTGGCCATATTTAAATACACTAGAAAAACCTAAAGTTGAAGGGAATCAGTGGTGAGATTTTATTTTTGGTAAAAGCAAACAAATGTTTGCCCAAATATAAATGTTAGACATTAGAGAAATGCTAAACTTCCTGAGGCACACTGCAACAAAATAAACTGTTTAAATCAGAAATACAAGACTCCCTCTTCCTTTTTTTTAACGGCTTTTTTAGAGAGAGAGAGCACAAATGGGGGGAGGGACAGAGAGAGAGAAGCAGACTCCCCGCTGAGCACAGAGCCCGACAAAGAGCTCCATCTCACGACCCTGAGATCATGACCTGAGCCAAAATCAGGAGTCAGACACTTAACCAACTGAGCCACCCAGGCGCCCTGACTCCCTCTTCTTTTGTGGTTAGTTCTTGCACTGGCTTAATAAACTAACTGGTAATTACTGACGGCCCAGCTAGGCCCTGGAGATTTAACAGTGAGCAACGTGGGTGACAGGATTCCTGCCCCCAGGGTAGCTTACAGATCTGTGTGGAGAGAGACACTGAACAAAAAATCAGACCTTAAAATTTGTGCCATGAAGGTAAAGTGGCAGGTGGTATGAACCAGGAGCCTAATATAGGACAGGTCATGGAGGGAGTCTCTGAGGAAACACTGTTTGGCAGTGAGAGGGGCGAGGAGTGGGAAGTGAGGTGTGCCTGTGCCTGAGGCGAGAAAGAACCAGGTCGGTCCAGGAGATGGAGGAGACTCCGAGGGGCTGGGGCAGGGTGAGCAAGTGCGAGCAGTAGGGCGGGCACGGGAGTAAAGCAGCATTCTTTGGGATTTTACTTTTTGTCCTCAAAGCAGTGGCAGCCTGAAGAGTTTTCAGCATGGCAGTGACATGATCCAGGCTGAGCTGGTTCACTAACAAGGCCCCCGGGGTACTGTCTGATGGGGGCCTTGTTGTTCTGAAAAGACGAGTCCATCCTCACCTTCCATTACTGTAAAAACAGTCAGGCTTTATGACCGCTTCAAATCCATCTGGGTTCATTGAAGGCAGGAAGTGTATCCGGGTGCTGCGGATTAAATTTGTGATTTCAAAGTCTTTTCCATCATTGGTTACGAGATGTTCAATTAAGTGGAGAAGGAGCTCCCGCCCGACAGTCTGTGTGTGTTAAAGACAAAACGGGAATATTATTAGGTCAGAGGAAAATAGTCCCTAAAGCACAAATTCCCCCACGAGGGGCTCTACTACAGTTTGGTATTTGAAACCAAAACCAGTTGTGAGACCACGATTTCTCAAACACATGGGGGCTCTGGCAAGTGGCAATCAGTCACCAGCGCGCTGAAAACTCTCAGCAAAAATTACTTAGAAAGTTAATTTTGTTTTAAAGTACCCATCTGTGAAGAATTTACTTTTTTAAAAAAATTGAATTAGGTGGGATAAAGGTTATGCTCATTATGTTTCCAATTTGTTTCCCTTCCAAAATACTTCCCGGACCGGAAGGGCAGAGGCGGCGCTCGGGAGAGCAACGGGAGCGCGGCTCCGCGAGCATGCGCGGTGCGGCCGGACGCCGTCCTGTGGGTCTCGGGGGACGGCAGGGGACACCCACTGCATCAGACACAATAGACAAATGTCGATTTTAATAGGGTAAAATTCAGGCTTGTAACAAGCACAACTTAAATAGGTTTCAGACTTTAATATCCCTATTTCCAAATTTCCCTCTTGCACACTTGTGCAATGTTTGCCCTATCTGCGTATTTCCGATTGCCACATTCTCATGCTGCCGAAACTTGAGTCATTTGCACATCATTCTCGTATTTTTTTTTTTGCCATATCTGCATATCATCTATATGACTGCTCATCTATATTTTCTTTAAATTGGCTCACTTTTTACCTACAGGAGAAATGAAAACCTTTGTGTCATTACCATTTTGCTAGACAGGTTTCTAATGTACACTGTTTAAAAAGCAGGACTATGAAAATAAAAATGGTCAGGTCCACCCACAATTATCTTATGTATCACCAGTGACTGGGAAACTGGAGACCTAGGAGAGATCTTGTTTTATAATTCTCAATGGTAAGGCCAATTTTTTAAATTATTATTTTAAAAAGGTAATTCACACCTCAACCTTATTATAGAAAGATCTGACTAGGCTATATCAGCTTGTGTCTATAATCCTGGGTTCAAGGAATCTGCTTCTGGGTAAGGAATGCTGGCCTCTCACCCACGGTCAGATGCTGCTGAGGGGTTAGTCACTGGGAACTCTAGGGCAGCGGCTGATCAAGGGCTGTGCTGTAAAGGCACTACTAAGGTAGGCAATGTAGCAGGGCAGCGGTTTCCAATTACAGCTCCACCCTATGAAATCACTGCTGTGACAATGGATGAGCAATCCTTGAATGGTAATTTCTCACTTTATTCTCCCCACTGGCAAGGAAAGAAACCACACTTGATGAATTTGTTATCCTAATGAACATGGAATAATTGAAATGGGGACTAAGAAAATTTGGAATATGTCATTTACATATTCACAGGTAGCCATCAATTTCAGAGTGGAAATATATTCAATTCTGACTTCAATTTTTTTTCCTACTTATTTCTATCTTCTACTACCTTGATTTTTGTTTTTACAGTCAAAATTGTCAGCTTGTGGGATGCCTGGGTGGCTCAGTGGGTTAAGTGTCTGCCTTCAGCTCAGGTCACAATCCTGTGATGGAGCCTCACATCAGGCTCCCTGCTCAGCAGGGAGTTTGCTTCTCCCTCTGCCTCTGCCCCCTGCTCATGCTCTCTCCCTCTCTCAAATAAAATCTTATAAAAAAAGTTGTCAGCTTGAAAAAGTCTTTACAGATAACCAAAAAAAGGCAAGTAAGCCACACATGAGGTTTCCAAGTGTCTGTTTTGGGAGCTCAAGCACTCTGGAAGCAGCCTCATGAGCTACTTGCTGGCCAGTGGAGGAGCTGCTGTGACTCTCATTTGTGAAAAGCTAATTTACACGTGGAAAGTGTAGTGACTTAAGGAGCATTCTGCCAAGGGCTTGGGGAGGAGGCAGTGACCAAGAGTCACTTGCAGCTCCTGAAATTTCTAAATGTTGGTTGGGACTGTCGGGCGGTTGGTTCAGTTAGAGGGATGAATCAGGAAGAAACCGAGGCCCATCTGAGTCCCCAGTCAAGTACAGAGGAGCCGTACCAGAATCCCCATGGGGCTCAAGATGTGCCTTTCCCTCAACTATCTCAACTGAACAATCTCAAGCACACCACAACTCAAGACGTGAGTTGGCAAAGACATTCATCCAACTCAAAGCAAATGAAAACAAAGAGGAGTCAAGAAGCTGTAATTAAGCTACAGAATGAGACTGAGGAACTGTGGGAGAACAGGTACAGAACAGAATGGAAAAGTTAATGTTTATCATTGACAGAGGATGGGGGCTGGGGGACAGAAGCGTTCATAGCAAGGGGTTAGAAGATTCTATCGAGAGCTAAAAACTATATATTTTCAATGATTACAATTTCCAAGTTTTCCCTCATTTTTTTTCTTGACTGGAAGAATCTTCCAATAATTTGAGAAAATATTTATCAAGTTCACCAATTATTTTAGTTTCACTTCAATTTATCCTGTCCAAGTAAAATGAAATCTTGTACTTATTTAAGGGTAACATAGAATATGGCATCCATTTTATGTTATATCCTTTTAATCCTTCTCATTCTCTTCCTACAGAAATCCATAGATGTCTAGAATGATGTGTGGCAGATATTAATGATGGTTATTTTTTTTTAAAGCTTTTATTTATTTATTTGAGAGAGAGAGAGAGAATGAGAGATAGCACGAGAGGGGGGAGGGTCAGAGGGAGAAGCAGACTCCCCGCTGAGCAGGGAGCCCGATGTGGGACTCGATCCCGGGACTCCAGGATCATGACCTGAGCCGAAGGCAGTCGCCCAACCAACTGAGCCACCCAGGCGCCCAATGATGGTTATTTCTAAGTGATAGTATTTTGAATGATTTTTATTCCTTTTATTTTTGTGGCTTTTTAAAGAGAACCTTTATTATTTTTACAAAACCAATAAAAATCATGATTCTTTCAAGTCAACAAATGTAGAACCAAGGTATTTTCTGTTTGTCTCCATATTCCAAAACAAATCACATGTCCTTAACTGCAGAGGATAAGTAAAAAATCTTGGAAATATGGTAAAGAACCAATTAAGAGTCAGATAATTTAAAAACTGCTGAGGCTAAACAGCTAAAATTTCAGGGAATTAAAATCCTCTCTTTTTGTTGGGCTATATTTTGCTGTCTTCCTAACAGCAGATTTATGCCAAATATTATTCAAATTAATTCTTCCCAACCTTAATATAAATGTTTCAAGCACTCATTCATGTTTTATGCATAAACCTCCCTTCTTTAAAACTAAGTCTTTGAATATGAAATCCCAGAGAGTCCAAATTTTAAAAAAGAACACGGTCAAAGCAATCCCAAAAGCTTAATCAGCTTTCCATTTAGCATGCTCACTTCCTCTCTGGGAGGGTGTAGACTTAATATGAGAATCCCTCATGAAGAAACTGAAAGGCTGGATGAACACACCAGTTTCGGGAGCCTTTCACTGATCATTCATCTACCAGTTAAAATGGCAATAACCCAGAAAGCAGAAAATAAATTCTCCATCAGTTTTAGTTTACAATTAAGGCGGAATTTGCTAGAGAGATAAAAATGATTGTTCTAGCTCTTCAAAGAATTTTTTAACAGTGGAAAAAAATTTTTGAAGAGTCTACAATTACTAGGTAATTTGTGAGAGTGAGAATGAGAGAGAGAGAGAGAGAGAGAGAGAGAGAGAGAGAGAGAGAGAGAGAGAGAGAACAAAACCCAGCTATCCCAATGACGGAATTGGTTTTCTAAAATGCTACACTGTAATGCAGCTGCTCGGTGGAAGAAAAGCCTGTGACCTCAGGAGCTCCCCAAATAGTGTATTACTGATTTAATTCATTTGTCTGATTGCCTCCTTAAGTCCTTCTTCAAATATCAGCCTAAAATATTAAGTTATCTAGCAGACTTTTCCCTGGGCTCCCAAAGTCTGGGTGCCATGACCTACGCATGAGGTCCCAGAACTCTGCACGTTTGTGTTTCTCCTAATACCACCCACAGACATTTACAATGGCCCGACTGACCTTGACTGACCACCCCGCCCCCCCCCCACTCCATCCTCTAAGCCTTGAGGGCAGGGATCCTAACGGGCTTTCTCTGTAGCGCTGGTTTCTTGCCCAGCTCTGGGGATATCATGTACTCAATAAATGATTGCTGATTATTGTTGACAAATCCATTACAAGGTCAAGACTTTCTAGGGAGGAAATTTCTGAAAACATGAGAACTTAAGCTGCTTAACGAGGGCAGATGTACAAATGATCAAATTAGAGGCGCCTGGGTGGCTCAGTCGTTAAGCGTCTGCCTTCGGCTTGGGTCATGATCCCGGGGTCCTGGGATCGAGCCCCTCATCGGGGTGGGAAGCCTGCTTCTCCCTCTCCCACTCCCCCTGTTCCTGCTCTGTCAAATAAATAAATAAAATCTTAAAAAAAATGATCAAGTTATTTCCCTCGAACCATTTTTAACATTGAACCACTTTTCCAGGGGTGGGGGCTAACAATTCTGACCCCGCCAAGGACTCAGGAATCCAGCCGCCCTAGCCCAGCCTTCCCAAAAGTGGAGATGAAGAGAAAAAGCACAATTACAGGAGAAATTTAATACATACTTAAAAGAATCTGACACTTCACTTGGAATGAAGATTAATTCTAGCTCCATAAAGGAAAAAATTAATGATCTAAAGCCACACTGCATAACTGAGGACATTTTGCTATCATCTGTGATAATGGTGGAAAAAAGAACTTGGCAAATGGCATCTGGAAGGACAAGCTTTAATTTTTTTTTTTTTTTTTTTTTTTTTTTTAGTACATTTGGAACTTGTACTGCATATTTACTACACATCCCAGATTTTCCAGCATGGGCAAAATTCGGATATTATGTCTTAGTGTTCATATAAACCATTAAAATGCCCTTTAAATGCAAACATCTTAGCATATAAACTACATAAGTTGTCTCTTATATGTCAAGAAGGGGTGTGAAAATCATTTATCCATTATCCTTTATTTTTAGGTTGAAAAATATGGCTACTGTTATCCAGGGAATGTTTCTGCTTTCAACTTATATATCTAGAACACAATAAACTATAAATTAATGCCACCCAAATGTGAAATTCTAAGTGTGATGTGGATATTTCAAAAGTCTACTGAGGGGCACCTGTGTGGTTCAGTCGGCTAAGCGTCTGCCTTCAGCTCAGGTCATGATCTCGGGGCCCTGGGATCAAGTCCTGCAACGGGCTCCCTGCTCAGTGGGGAGTCTGCTTCTCCCTCTCCCTCTGTCTGCTGCTCCCCCTGCTTGTGCTCTCTGTCAAATAAATAAATAAAATCTTAAAAAAAAAAGTCTACCTGAATAACCCATCATAGTAAAAGTAACTTATTGATGTTTAAAAAATAGGAGCTTGGGGGAAAAAAAAAAAAAAAAAGAATCCGAATTGGCAATTAAGCATAACAAGCACATATTGAATACCTACCCCCATACTACTTAAGACCATGGCCCTGAAGTCAAGGGAACCTTGTGAACCCAGCCTGTGACCTCTCCTTTGCCTATTACTGGATTAGCTTAAAACTACTGGCACTCAACTTTCTCAGCACATAGTCATGCCTCACTTCAGTATTTCCATTAGAGAGGCATTAGAGATGTCTTAATAATCTAGAGATTAGCCAAGATTTTCTTGTTCTACAAAGTTTAAAAACCATGGGATAGGAGACAGGCACAAAACAGTGTGAGGAGGCCTTGAGGAAGGAACAAGGAGTGATTTTCCCAGGCTTCTCTCCTGCCCACATTGAGGCTGAAGGTATTAGACGTTCCCAGTTTCGGGGCCTGGTAGATTATTGGTGATAGCTTACTACAAAGCCAGCCACCAGCACGAGGAGGGCACAGGGGACAAAGACCCCACTCTCAAACACTGTCAGTACTGGTGGAGGAAGGGAACGGGTAGGGAGCCCCACTCAGCGTGTGCCGGCATCATCCAAGGAGGGACAATCCCTAGACTTCAGCTGTGTCTGAGCCACCGACTAGGCACCTGCGTACGTTAAAACTAGGATCGAGGCTTCTACAAGGCGACATGTCATTGTGTGTGCACACGGAGGGCCCGGGTGAACTAGGAAAACACCTGCTAGTCTTATGAAAATGAGAAAGGTAGAAAACTCAGAAACACGCCTCTCACGTTGTTCTGGAAAGAGCATGAACACCAGGTGGCAAAGGCTTCTCACAGGGTGCTGTTAGCTACCCCGTGTGATTCCACGGCAATCAAGGAGAAGGCAGGGAGTAGAAAAAACGGACTTGGATTTATATCCAGCGTTACTCGAAGAGCTTGCCACTTTTTTACATGATGAGTAAGACCAAATCTTCTCATCGAAGGGCACCATTAGGTATCCATCCAAACAGATCATAGATCTATACGTCCAAATGAAAAGAGTACAAACAGAACACTTAGAAGGCAGCAGAGAGAGTCAAGGAGGCAGACCCATAGCTGGGTAAGGCCCGGCGCTTGGGCTGGGATTCAGACAGCCTACGACCAAGCACAACCCCCCACCGAGCACTTAGTGTAGCCCATGCTTATTAATGTTGGCTCATGTTATTATGTGCTTGTAAAGCACTGTGGAGAAAGTAACTTGCCAGTCTGATCAACGAGGCACAGTGAGCCAGGGTCATTGGAAGGACATGAGCCAACGGCAGGGTGAAAGGAGACAAGAAAGATATTATACAAGAGGAGGTTTAATATCACTTCTTTTATAACAATACCTACCTGCCAAGGGGCCATTTTAAGTTGGTTTTGCTACCCAAAGTTTTTGCAAACCCTCAGCATCGGCCAAATTAATCCATCTTCATGATTCCTACGGGTCTATTAGCCAAAAAATGTTTCACCTAAATACAGCAAACCTTTACACTTAGCTTCCGGTTGGAAGGAACCAGAGAGACTAGAGGCACAGGGAAGCAAAAAATCCAGAATGTAGGACATTCTGCAGGACAGATAACTAATTGATCAGGTCTCTTTATTAAGTCTAAAGTCACGAAAAGATCCTTTAAATGCTAGAACAAAAGATTCAAGGGAATGGACCACATGTGATGCATGGTCCTGGACTGGATCCTGATGTAGACAATCTGGGGGACATTTGAGAAACCAGAAAGTGGGGTAGAAGACAGGATAAACTCATATTGACATGAAAGGGTGGCTAGTATTAACTTAAATGTTACAAATAGCAAATCAGCATAGCTCATTTAATAGAAGTGCACACATGCACACACAAACCTCTAGGTGGATAAATAGTAAGGAATTAACTACTAATTTTTGGAAGGTCAATATACAGTGTTGTTGTTGTTGGTTTATGTTTTTTTCTGAGATGTACATGATTGATTTTAATAACAACAACAGATTACCTTTAATTTAAAAAAGACCTGATTCTAAAACAAGGTACAAGGACGTAAGGTAAAAATTCATGGGGGAAAATAGCAGGTATGATCAGTAGAACTGGGTCTTTCTAATGCTGGGGATGCTCACTGCCATCTAGCCATGTATTCAGTGTGGGAAACACACACACCTCTGTGCGGGGTGGGGTCCAGGTAAGAGAGGAAACATTTTAAAAACAGTGTGATCACTTCTGTCCAGCAGGCCACTCTGTGCATAGATGTCCCCTGTGGGATTGTCCACACGAGGCCCACAGACTCCTAGAAAGATCCATACATCCTGAGATCAGCACCCAGCATCTGTGGTGGAATAGCAAGGCATCCACCTAAAGAAGGTGAGAACCAGTGCCCTAAAATGTTAGCTATGTAGCATTTTATAGTGGGTTCTCGAAAATGCTCTTTCAATTCCAAAAGATCTAAGAGAGGAAGAAGGCTGGGTCAGGTGGTTGGACCCTCTATTCAAACACACTCCTCTGCTCCTGAGTGAAGCCATCACTGTCCCCAGCTCCTCGCAGCACCAGGAGGGCAGAAGGCACAAGATCTCACATTCAGGATAAGCTCCTCCGTGGCCCACAGAGCCCGGACATTGCCACCAGTGGGGACACATGGGGGACACACGGGGGATCACAGGGCCTCAGGTCCCCACCCCAAGGCACACTGGGACTTCACCCTTTCTTAATCTCAGTCCTTAGCATTCCTCAAAGAATCAGGGTGAACTAGAGAGCCCCGATTTGATGGGATACATTACCTACCCAGACAGCAAAAGGCCAGAAGTTTGGGAAAGTGCATGTTAGAAAGAAGCCAACTCAGAGGTGAGGGATGGAAAGGACTCTGGCTTCTCTTTCAAAGTTTCAGCTCGGAGGGTTACTTCTGAGCACCATGCTGGAACCTCCGACGTGTCAGGAATTCAACAGTAAACTACTGTAGTTAACGAGTGCCATATGTCTTTTACTAAAGATGGACTCCACGGACCTGGGTCCATAGATGACACAGCAAGGGGGAGGTCTGGGCTGCCATCCGTGGCGATCGGTTGTGTTATCACACCAATGCTGGTCAGACTCCCAGCGACATCAAACCTGACAGGTACGGCCCTATCACACTCAGCAAAATCACAGGGGCACTGACCTTCCATCCGCTCACAAATCAGGTCCAAGGGCCTACGCCTTTCTTAGAGGCCAGTGTCTGCATCTTGCTCCCACTGCAGGAAGTCCTGTCCTCCCGGCAGGACAGGTCAGGCTGCGTGCATCCTGAGAGGTGGACCCTGCTCCTATGGAGCCCGGGCCCGGGGAGGGCTAAGCCAGGACAGGAAGCCCAGTGTCAGAAGAGAGCCCACCACCCACACTGCTGCCAACTCCCACGTGTCTTCATGAGGCATACTGGACTACGCCTTTACTTCGACGCTCCTTAAAGGTAAGCGTGTTTTAGCGGGCGTTACACATATTGCTATGTAAATTTTCTTGACTGTGATGACTGGGAGCGATCTTTCCCTTCCACTTCACTGCTCAGGCGTATGGGCTCCTGGGAACAGAAAATACTGCAACTGTCACATTCCCCAAATCCTCTGAGGAAGCGCGGTAAGAGAGGACAGGGGAGCACCCTCAAAGGCCTGAGGGGAATGACTGCCAAGTGGGGGAGGGGGTATGTACAAAACCAAATAAATAACATGACATCAAACAAAACAAAACAAAAGGAGAGTTTATCTCTGATACGCTGGAAAAGAGGCAAGACATTACAAAACTTAAGAGCGTTTGTTGAGCGAGAGAACCGTAAGCTTGATTGCCCGTCAACTTCAATATTGAAAACACTGAGCAGAAGATTAAGACAGGTGACAAAAGCTTTCAAAAAGTCAGATATCAGGAGTTTGGATAGCTCTCTGGGATCTTCTGATTGTTTTGAGTTCAAATATACTACAGCTCCGTCGCTGGGTCATCTGGATGCCCCCCAGGAGGTGGGAAACGTCAGCCCAGGGTGGGTTTCAGGGCCTCCGCTGGCCGTGAGGGCTTGGGCACTGCTGTTTTTCCAGTCCGGGTACAAAACGAACTCCAGGGAGCCTCCCAGAGCACTGGCTCTGGTGGTTGTCGGACCCTGGTTCCTTCAATTCTCCCAGAAGGCCTCACTGCAAGACCTTTCCAGATTTTTTGGTACGATTTATGCTGCTACCTTAGCATTTACACGGAGCTCGAGAGACCTGAGGGGAAGTGTGTCTGGTGACTTTTCAGATATTCAAGCCGCATACATACCTCGTCTCCGTGCATGTTGGCCACGTATTTGAACTCTGGAATCCCAATTCTGTGCTCCTTTGGGAAGCGCCCCACGACAAGAACCCACAGGTTTCTGCCTTTACAGGGAAGAGAGAGAAAAATAAGTTGTGTTTGCAAATGACAGATGAACTCCAGGGAATGAGCAGAGAAAGCAAACTGCTGCTTCTCCCACCTGACTTGCGTCTCAGGACGACCGAAGCGCGTAAGTAAGACTAACACCTCATGCTCAAAATGCTTTTTTGCTCACTTCCAGCCCCAACCCCTTCAATTTAGCACAGATATTTCACTTATTTCAGAATGTGATTTTTAAAAATTGAAGGCTGATTAGGATACATGGGTCTGATTTTCCCAATATGTTTATATACTTTACTCTGAGTTCCTAGGGCTTTATAGAAATGACCTTGCTAATTCACACAATTATACAAACTTAAATTATAGTTGATGGTTGACTGGGAGGGTGCCGTAATTCTCAGTTCAAAGAAAGGGAAAAAAGCAACATGGAATAAAAAATAGAACGCAGAAGGGAGATTGTTTTTAAAATACCAAATCCTGAATCTTGTATCAAACACTGATGTAACACAGCTCCTTTGCGGCGAGTGTCCTTGATGTGCGCAAGTCCTGTCAAGTAAACTGGCAGCCACAATCCATCCTAATGATGCCTCAAGGAATACTTCTAAGTCCTAATCCTGCCGTGAGGAGCATGATTCAGGCGAGGAAGGGCAGAGACTAAAGCTCACTGAGGATTTGCTCTGTGTAGACGTTACGGTTGGTACTCCGGTACAGGTTATCTTGGTAATCCCTTGTCATGACCCACTGAGATGGATTTTTAACCAAACTTTACAAATGAGAAAACTGATCTTCCACCTAAGTAAGTTGCTTATGATCACACAGCCAGTAAGAGGCTGTGATTTGAGCCCCAGAGCCAAGACATGACTTATTTGACTTTGGTTCTAGGTCTCCTTCCACTAAAGAAAACTGCCCGTCTCTCAGGAGGTTTGGTTTCCTAATCAGTAAAATGAAGAGGTCACTTTCTGTTCTAAAATCATCTCTTTTAGTCATCAGCCTCTCTTAATACAAAAACTTTAAAATTAGAAATTGAGGAATATGTTCAAAATCTATCACATATATATAATGCTCAAATATCTGTGATATCTGAGCCTCCTGTGGAATTCAGGAGCCCAGGGAAGGAATTTAACAGCAGCTGATGGGCTAATGTGGAACAGGTTTCTGTGGAATTTCAGATCCAGTCCCTTAAATCAGGGGTCCCACAGGCTGAACACTCAGTTGGTATGAGGAATCCTGAAAGAAACATAGTCTTTTTCACCATTCTTAATTTATTGTAACAATATTTTAGGTACATTTATCATGACAGGGTGATGCTTTTAATTTTCTAACTGCAGGATGTCTCAGAAAACACCCACAAAATGCCGTTTATCTGACTGAAGCCACCTGACTAGAACAGAATCCTCACTCATTCATATATTCATTCAATTAGTACGACTATATCCAGCCATTTAGACATGTGATCAGACTGCACAGGTAATTTATACTCTCTTAAAAAAAAAAAACCTCACTGGGTGTAAAGATTTTATTTATTTGACAGATAGAGACACAGCGAGAGAGGGAACACAAGCAGGGGGAGCGGGAGAAGCAGGCTTCCCACGGAGTAGGGAGCCCGATGTGGCGCTTGATCCCAGGGCCCTGGGGCTATGACCTGAGCTGAAGGCAGACGCTTAACAACTGAGCCACCCAGGCGCCTCACCCAGTGAGTTTCTGATCTAGTGGAGAATAGCAATGTGCAAACACAATACACTAGACGGTGACATATACGGCCATAGAAGTGTATATAAGGTACTGTTGTGCTTGTAGAATAAAAGAAATGGTTACTTCTTTCCAAGAAGGGGGATCATGAAAAGCTTTACAGATCTAGGGGTTTATAGATGACTTCTGAACAGGGTTTTGAAGAATGATTCTAAGTTTGCCATGTGGACAAGTATAATGCATCCAGTGATTTCCCATCAGAACAATTTCACCAACCAGAACCTTCTATTGCCCGGTATGATTTCTCAGGTCATCTGGAATTTCAATTCTACAAAGTTAACATTTTCATGTGAGCAAGGAAGTTTTTTTTTTTTTAAGGCTGGGTGTGGCGCCTACTTAAAACAACAACAACAACAAAAATCAAAGGGCTTGAACTCAGGACCCTGAGCCCATGACCTGAGCCGAGATCAAGAGTCGCTTAACCAACCGAGCCACCCAGGCGCCCCAAGGAAGAACTTTTTCTGAGTGAGCTAATAAACCTGGCTCTTTAGGTTTCCTTCTGCGCAATGCTTTTTTGTAGCTATTAATGCTTTTAAAGATAGAATAATCACAGATTTGTACAGATTATGATTTAGTCCCCTCACAGGCAAGGGGGGGAAATTCAATATCATCTGAACATAATATTTACCAATTGTTTTAACAGTGTAACAACCAATTTGCAACAGCCGGCCTGTTACATAAGGATAGGACGTAAGACAACAAAACCTGACTTGACAATGGAGATTCAATCTTAATTGGTTTAAGGAAGGAGGAAGATCAATAAAACCTAAGTGAAGAAGTACTTTATGGGTAACTCAATCTCAATTTTAGCATGAATGGCCCCTAAATGAACTGCAAGATGAGAAATTTACCTTGAATAACCTCAATGGCACAAAGTTTGAGAATGAAAACCAACCAATAATCCTAGAAGATATCCACGCAATGCTTTTGGAATAACAAGCTTCTTGAAGGGTTTAACCCCCCTTTCCAAACACTGGCCATCTCTGGCTTAGACCAAAGTAAATGCACAAAGGACAAACTACTTTTCACAGTATGATTGCCAAGGTCAGGGTAATTTAAACAAGATTTTTTTTTTTTCCTATCAACGTTGGGACCTTTATTCCCCCTTTCCAACAGCAGGTATGCTGAAGAGTTCTGGAATGCTTGGCCGCTTTCTCTTCACTACAAATCAAAGAAACCTGGATTCCAAATATTTGGTATCTATATTATATTCAGGAACTTGGAGCTTGACACAAATCCCAGGGATGTGACACAGGTGCCCGACTGGGTTTGTTCAGAAGACAGGAAAAGCTTTACAAATTTAGAAGGATTCACAAAGATCCAAAGACAAGAAAGCAGGCAAAAAGTGCCACGAAATACCTTAGGAATTTAGGAGAAAGCTGATGGTGAAGTGCGGAAAACTAAGTATAGCTTCAACAGGTAGAAATGAGAGGAGTGTCATGCCCATATCAGAATCACCTGGATCCTTGTAAAAATGCCAACCCCTGAGTTCCATCTGCTAAATCAAACTGTAGGGGTAAAGCTCAAAACCTGCATTTAACAGGCTCCCTTGGTGATTCTGAGGCCCATTAAAATTTGAAAGCTTGCTGAGGCTGAGGCGGTGAACATCCAGATGGTTCTGGGAGGCACTTGGTTTTCAGGTAAAACTCTCATTTTACATATAATCATGAGCACACTTCTATGTTAACAAATATACTTCTATTTTACTATCTGAATACATTACCACTAGTTCAACCACTGCTCTTTTGTTAGATGTTCAAAAATAAGTTTTATGTGAACTACAGCATATCCACCAAAATTACATAATTTCGAAATCAGAATACAAAATTATATTAACTACAGCCATATAAAAACAGATTGTTCATTTAAAAAGTACCATGGAAGGAAACAGCTCCATGGCATATAAAGCCTTAAATTAACAGATGGGTCTACAAGAGTCAACAGTGACACACTATGAGTGATAAGAGCTTGAGTGATAGGGTGATAAAAATCAAAAAAACTTTTTTCCCCATGTCCCTATCTTTCTTTTTAAAAAATAAAACACCAAATCCTATCATTCATGAAGTACAGATCCTCTGCACCAGACCCCAGCCTAGGCACATTGTTACTTGACCTGCACAACACCTCCACGTGATGGGCGGTACCCATGACTTACTGTCGAGGAAATGTATTCAAGTGGCAGAACCAGGGTCCACACCTAGGTAGATCTGATTCTAAAATCTGTATTCTTCTGACGATGCCAGGCTGCCTTAATCTCCCTGAAAGTACTAGATAGGCCAGAGCCAACGTCCCCCTGGGGGAAATGTTCCCAGGAAGTTCTCGTAATGTTGTGTTGCTATGGTTCACACCTGGAACAGGATCCAGGTACCACCTGGCTACGACCAATGGATCTAAGACAAGAGCCCCGACCGGAGGGCTGGCTACCCTGTCAGGCTCTCTCTGCTCTGAGGGTTTCAGACTCTGCCTGGGTGGCCTGGTCACCGGGGCAGAGCTGCTGTGATGATGAAGCACATTCCGGTTTTTCACGAGGCTTGTTTGTATGTATTGTATGACCCACGAAGCTCTGGTATCCAGGGGGATGAATCAGCAGCTGGTTTCCCAGACTCCACAGTGCTCTGCGTATCCCTACAATCACTCCCTGAGCTAAATCAGAGCCTGAGAGAGCTTGCCCGAGAGTGCCCTCATATATAAGTGGGAATAACAGCTCCACGGGCAAGGCTGTTGTAAGGCTGATGAATTCCTCCCTCCTTCCCTAAGGATGAGTCAAAGATCTGACACCACACCTTTGATTTCACTTGTGCACATTCCCATTACCACACACACACACAGCTCAGCACACAGAGCTCAGCCCTACCTTAAATAATGGGCGAGGTGAATACAGCACATCACTTAAGTCAGGTTAAACACTTGGCCTCTGGCTTTGCAGTGGAGGAAAAGAGGTTCCTGCTAAGTGGCTCATTACAAAAACCACACACACACACACACACAAACAACAGCAAACAAACAGGGACAGAAAGCATGGGCCAAAGTTTCCAGATTGGCTATGCTTGCACAGTAGCATCATTTATAGCTCAGAGCCTTTTCTGTATATCCACTTAACCCTGACAACCACAAGTGGGAGGCGTGAGGATGCTCCTTTCAGCCTGATGCGCAGAGTCTTAGGTAGCCTCAGAAGGCCATCATTCTCAAAGCGCGGTCTCGGGACCAGCAACATCAGCGTCACCTGGGACCTAGCGAAATGTGCACTTTCTCAGGC